TTGAAATCAAGCACATCTTTTATTGACAAGGGAAATTATTAATTACTCATTACATCTTCTTGGTTCCTTCGGTAAAGTCATGTAGAATGGAAATAAAATAATAATAATGAAACATAATAAAAAAAATAATAAAAATAAAAAATTCTCACGACGTTTCGGCCACAACACAAGTAGCCTTAAATTTTGATTTAAAGCTTTCGTGACTGCAGTAATTCATATTCTTAGTTTTTTCGGTAAAGTCACGTTGAAGAGAAACAACAAAATAACAAAATATATATAAAACAATAAAAAATATATATATATTTTGTTATTTTGTTGTTTCTCTTCAACGTGACTTTACCGAAAAAACTAAGAATACAAGTAGCCTTCTTCAGGTGAAGGAACAGAGCTGTCGGGACGACAGCGCTTCAATGACCGCTGCAAAGATTTGCAGCGTCTTTTAAGCTAGGTGGGAGAGGTAAAGCGCCTTGATAAAGGAGTTTACATATCAAACAGGAGAATTTAGCATTGAAATAGCTGTGTTAAAGTGTTGGATCAGCAGGGTGTTAAATCAGAAATTAGCATGTAACTGGGAGATTAGCATGATGTACGGTAACTTTGTAATATTAAATGTGGCTAAAGTTTTCATGATTGCCTAAGCAAGCCTATGCTAAACAATGTTGATGTGAGAGATAACTCTACTCTTGATTGTGTGTATGAATTATATTCGAGTTTCGAAGTATGCTTCCGCGGCTGGTAATAACATCCTTTGCCTCCCCCAGTGTTGATGTGTGCACACCACATCAAGTTCTCATTAAGGCTGGGTTGCCCTTGGGAAGGCCCAGAACTAGTTCAGATATTCACGACTGGAGTTAGCCGTGGCCCAGAATTTAACTTTGACCGCTGAGTTTGAAGCGCAGTGTCGCTACTTTCGAACTCTGCAGCAGAGTGCACAGGGCGAACGCACACAAAAAATCCCAACAACTTACTCACGCCACATGAGGTGGAAATCCGTTACGTTACCGGATGACCAGAAAAAAAGGGAACGGCATTCTTCGCCGTTTCTAAAGCAGATGGGCTCGGAACCGTGGCGTCTAAAACAAAAACCAGGCAGCCCGTGTTGTCATCGGCAGGCCCTGCCTGATCGGCCATCTGGAGTCAATTCTTGTCGCACGGAATTTTTAGTCACGTCCCTTTGATTCGGATGCTCGGTGGTTTATTTTGACTCTATCTGTTCTGACACGAAAGAAAAATAATCTGAAAGGTATATGTGATGGAGAAAAAGAGCAGATCGTATCAGATCCATGTCGTGTTTGGAGAGGGCTTGTATCAATCTGTTCCATGATACAACAGGATTTTGAAAGCGTGATGTCATGTTAAATTGTGATTCTTTGGGTTTTCCCTCAGGAGGACAAAGTTAAAGTCTTTGACAAGATTTTTTCCCTGCTCTGTATCCAACTGGAGTGGCGACTGCTCAGCTTTATAGCAGTCAAACCAATATATTTTTGTTGTATATTCAGAGCTGTAATTTTGGCAATTGAATGAAATACCAAATTTAACATGCGGTCTTTTTCATTCATTGGTGACCAGCGTGTGACTGACACCGAGATTCAAACCCAACAAGAATCCCAGCGGTGCCTGCTCAGTACACTGACCTCCCAGTTACCAGGCCAACTCAAAATAATCAACTCTTGAACTGATTTACGACCCTCAATCATGACAATTTGTCAAAACACTGAGGTGGGCGTACCATTACATGCCTAATTATCCCTTTTGCTGTGTTGTTTTCAATGATTTTTTGACAACCATGTCTCCGCACGCCGTATCTAAAGACAGGGTAAGTAGTCAGTCCTAAACACCGTAAAAAGACGGGCCTCCCGGTGATGGATGATGGGCACGCTCTATTCGAAAGGCATGTTAAACTTTAAATAAGAGCTTTATTGATATTTTAGAACAAATATTGTCTTTTTTCCAGTGTTAATGTCTGCAATGTTGGTGCAGTCAGCAATTCAGCAGCCGCACATAGCCCGAAAGCGATACTGACCACGGCATGTAGTAGCAGTCTTAGGCAATATCGCCTCCCTCCGTGGGCTCCACAATCTCAGGCCCTGATCTCGCACCAGTCTTTTTTTTTACAAGTGCGATCTTAATCTTTCCGTGATCTTTTTTTCTTTTCCATGAATTTATGAAATGGCACTTGTACTTGACATGTACGAAATATTTTCAGGGGTAATTGCAACATGAATTTAATTTTTTTACAAATGTTTGAGAGATTCACATCACTTTATGTGTGTATGTGTGTGTGAGGTGTTAGTGCAGCAGTGAGTGTACTGTGCTATGAACCTGAGGACCCAAGTTTGAGTGCCAACAACAACTAACATCAATGCTGAGTGATATCTTAACTCGTCCTGGCCCTGCCTCCTCAACAATCCATACTCACCAGTGTGGTGAAGTATGCTCAAACCATCCTATAAATATAATGATGTTTCGATTTAAAGCTTTCGTGACTGCAGGGATTAATATTCTTGGTTATTTCGGTAAAGTCACGTGAAGGGAAATAATTAAATATTAGACCACAGCAACATGTTCTTGCTGTGGTTTTTCACACCTGATGATGATTGCTTGTGTTGCAATCGAAACGTCGTGAGAATTGTATTGCTTTATTTGTATTATTTTATTATTTCCCTTCTACGTGACTTTACCAAAAGAACCAAGAATATAATGATGCTTATCCATAATACAGGTTTTTTTTGGGTTAAATCGCGTAAATATTTAAATGTGTCGTTAAACCCGCCACTACCCGACACAGCCAACTAGTAAGAGTTGTCACGTAAACAGAACATGCCAATTCGTTACTAAAACAGCACACCGGTGTGTTGGAAGCAAAGCCACAACATTTACAATCTGAGTACGACGTTTCGCCAGTAATTACAACTAGCTTCATCAGGCGACGGCCACATTTGTGGAGAAATCCTCTTTCGTTCCTTAAATAGAGGGGTAGATGTGATGACATCACTTGCAATGGTGTTTGAAGGCGTTTATCCAGCAGTGGATTGACAGAAGCGATATAAATTACTGTAACGTATGCGTGTACTGCATCCAAATGCATTTTATGTAGACGTTTAGTCCACGGGGGTCGGTCTCGTGATCGATCCGTCACCACAACTCGACTGGCTTGCATGCAGCAACAGCTCAGTTTCCACGGTCGCCTGGCAGTTTGTTCTGGAACATTGCCACAGCAGCACCACTTGGTGTCGGGTGAACGTCAACCATCCCGAGACATCATTCACAAGAGCGCGCCGTGATGTGGGCGCCAATGTCACAACGTTTGTCAAAATTTTCACCGTCGGTGCGGCCGGTGTTGGTGGTGGCAGTGTTCGAGACGGCCAACTTTTTTTGCGTGGTGCGTCGCGCGGTTGCTCCATATTCCCAACTCGTCTTTTTATTTGCATATTGTTACATTTCCCTGTAATGTTTTTTTGTTTTGTTTTACGGTTATGTTATGTGAGTTGCTATGTACAGCATCTGGAGATATTTTGTCGTTTAATAACTACATCAATTCTAGTTATTACTGCTATTGCAGTACTTCCCAACTAAAAATAATTGCCAAAAACCTATTAATAATAGCTGCCTCAATCCAACTAAGGCTATTTGGCTTGCGCCCGGTTTAGCAACAATATCCTCCATGGACTCGCTCCGGCCTACCTCTCCCCTCTCTTCTCACTCTACCCACTCATCCACGCACCGTCTGCTCCAGAAATCAATTATTAATTTAGCGTGATGCCTGTGCCCGAGCCAAGCAGCATCTTCATCATTTGCGGAACGTGTTGTCCTCAGACCGCCGCAAAGCATGGTTAGCGGACACAGTTTTCAACAATCGCCTTGCTCGGTCTCACACCACAGGCACAGTTTGGGCTGCTGCGAACACCGCACCTGCTTCTGCGGCCGTCTGGAACGCTCTTCCTTCTGATATCAGGAAGTCACTGGAGATATGCACTTTTTAAATCTAGATTGAAAACGAATTTCTTTAGAACTGCTTTTTTGTGTTTAGTTTGTCGTCCTTCCCCCGCACGTCCAATTGATTGTGTACGGTGCGAAATAAGTTCTACATACATACATGCAGTCGTTGCTGCACGCACGAAGGCCCTGGCCGGTTAGGAACCTATTGAGCAGGACCCAGTCAAGGCAATCAATACCACAAATCAAAGCCCCCTCAGTGAAAGGTGGCTAATTCTCTTCTGCTGCCCTTGTGGTCTGGAACCCCCCCCTCCCCAGCCATCCATGCTGTTGGCTCCTTTCCCTTGTTCAAGTCGAGGCTCAAGAGCTTCCACTTTTATTCTGACTATGACTTGCCGCCTCTTTCTCTGTGCAGCATCTTGTGATGCAGTGGCATTTCGATGCTATGTAAAGAAAAATTGTCCTGAATTGTACACACAAACACTGCCAGCGCCAGGCTGACTCATGACAACTCACGGAAGATCGCTCAGCTGAACAATTTAGTTCCACGGTTCAATTTGCAAGTGCGAGTTCGCGTTTTAAGGCAATGTTTAAAATAATATATTTCATGGAAGCTGGTACGTAAGTACGGGTATTCATGAGTCGGGTGCTCATAAGTCAAGGACTGCATGTATATAAAAAAACAATTCTACAACTACATCATGAGGCCTCCTTTGCCAGTACCAAAATATAATAGGGTTTTTTTCCCCTTCTTTCTGGCAACAAAACTGAAACCTTTTTACAAGGAATCATGTTTACATGAACCACAATACCTGCGGTCAGAATGCAAACAAAAAACAGAACTCTGACAATATATGCATTGTCCTTGAAACTCATTGGTCCACACCAGAGATAGCTTTCCTTAGAGCCTAGTCTCATATGGTGTTCGGCCAGATGACGCCAAAAGGCGCACAACTCAAATACAACGCACTATCAGAGTAATGAGGGCTCGGGGTAAGCATCTACATCATGAGGCCTCCTTTGTCAGTACCAAAATATAATAAGGAGGTGGTGATGAAGCTTACCAGGGCCTCGGTGTGCATTGGCCAGTACGCGTCCAGCACAGGGTCCGAGTTGGGGTCTTGGAGGGCGAAGTCGAGCTGGAGGCTGATTGGTCGAACAAAGTCGGTCACCTCCTGGCACCGTGAGACCAGATGGCAGGTGCGATCAGAGCAGGACAATGAGGGAGGGGCATGTGTCCACATACACACACATACTCATACACGTGTACATTTATACGCACATGTACGCAGGCATACATGCACGCGTGCACATTCACACATGCGCGAACATTTAAGTGGTGTCATGAAATAACTTGATAATCCACATGTAGCATTACATTAACCAACATTAGCTTTTTTTGGAACACATTACACTATAGTGTTGTTCTTAGACTGATTGTAATACAATTGCAAAATTAAGTTACAGAATGATTACACGCATATATATGATAGACAAGGGAGTAAGTAGTGTGTGTGGCCAGCACTGTGCGTGTATGACTAACTTTGCCTCCCAATTACTGATAATTATACAGTTATGTAACGCATGGCCAGGAATCGAACATATCACCGGCTTCTACCACTCACACACTGTCACAGCATCAACTGAAGGCATCTCATAGGTCTACTTGGCCTGAAATACCAAACAAATGAGCGTTCATCAGCCTGATCAACCCAGCTATGAATGTGACATTTTATTGAGAACAGATGTGTATGACGTCATAAAATCCCTTCCAAAAAACTCAAAACAATGGATGATGCAAACTTGAAAATGCGTCTTATGAAAATAGCACATGCGAACCCTTCTTACCAGCTCTGGCAGCATTTGTTTATTTTAACAAAATCTTTCATCATTACCGAAGTCTTTACTGGCATCGTAATTGAGGAAAACATCACTTGGATTGCTGCTCACTGATGTCAGCATTTTAGGCTGCGATCTTCTTGAGCAGCGTGTGGCGGTGGCGCAGAGGTTCGCGCACGGCACCACAAACCCGGCGACCCACGTTCGATTCCTGGCTACGGCTAACACCAGTGGTAATTGTTATCTGAACCAGTCCCTGGGCCTCCATTTCACCAAACCCCAGTCAACATCATGGCATGGCGAGGCCTTCATACAGAAGTGGATTGCCAAAGGTACTGTAAATCGTTCTCGTGGCTTTGCTTGGATTGAGAGCATGCGTAGCGAACCACGGTGAACTCTACTCCCATTGCACACTTAGAGCCTTTGCTGGGGGTCAGTGTAACGGGCAGTCACCGAGGACTTCACATTCAAGCCAAAGGGGGCCCGTAATTACCCACAGCAACCTCTACGCCACACGCGGCCAGCACTGTCGGCCAAGCTCAGCCTGCCGAGATTGGGGGGGGGGGGGGCGGGGGGGTTGCATGCGATTCTACTTGGAGGGCGCGTGCCCGGTGGGGGTAGTGTGCGTGCGCGTTTTGGGGCTACAATGTATACATCCAACACTAATGCTCCGAGCGAGCCGCTTTGTGGTTTCTTATTTCCCATTGGGTCCCATTAATTTCGGTTACATTCCAGTTCAATTTTAAAACAAAGGGCAGGGTTTCAGGAGATGGATGTTGCACGTCTAGACCAACGGGAGAGCTTCTTAGCTTCTTGGCAATCCAATGGTTGATTGTTAGTTATGGTTTGGGTTAGGCCTTATGTTCGCAGTGGAATATGCAGTGATATAATGTAAAAACAATGAAGTTTCAAGTAAATCAGCAGGAGCGGTAGTGTTTGGAGGACTGGCATTGAGTATCTAAATGTGGGAGATCCACAGAAAGAATTTAGTCAGTAGGTCCTGGCAAGAAGGAATTTGGCCCCGCCCTCACACTCAGATTTCCATCTCAAACCAGTTTCTGCATCCAAACTTTCCATGGGGGGAAAAAAAAAAACTCATTGGATTCAATTCTGAAATGCAGTCGCCGATCCCAAGCACTATGCAAGCTTTGCTTCTGAGATCTGGCACGGTCGGGCGCATTCAATGTAAGTGTGGCCACTCACGTGCAGGTGCAGGCCGATGTCCTGGCAGTAGGAGCGCCCGCCCGCCCGTACGCTCAGCTCCCGCTGCAGCGTCCGCTCGGCCGTCTCGTCGAAGAAGGCGCGCGGCGCGACGCGGCTCGCGTCCACGTTGCTCGTGTACGCGATCCCTGCACGCGGGGACGCGCAAGAGGGATGAGTGTGGGGGAACGGGGTTCGCGGCGCCGGTGCCAACGGCGGAGTGCATGGGTGTCAGGGTGCGTGGCGCGCAACGGTGAGCCCCGTAGCACCCCCCCCCGGCAGCAGTAGCAGTATCTGTTAGTACAAATGCAGCCTAAGGGCCCATATAGACGTCTGGGTACAATGAATTACACGCAGGTTACTATTTATATTTATCTGGAATATAGGTCGTTTCATCATTATTGAGGTATGCGGGTGCGTGGATGTGTGGCTGGGTAGTTGTGCAGACAGTTGCAAAGGCAGGTGAGTGGGTGTGGAAAAATTGGATACGAATATAATTGGGTTAGTAGATCGGAAACTAAATATGTAGCCAAGTAAACAAAAAACATATGGGACAGTGCTGCAAGTGGTTCACAATAACGTCAAAAGCTCTACACATTCATTAAAACTGCCTTCATATACAGAAATAGTCTGATATTTTGACTGATGGCCCTTGGCTACCTAGCAATAACCAATGTTCTGGAGAAGTAACTATTTCCCGAAAAATATCTGCGTATTATAAATGTTCGTGTTGTTTAAAAGGCGGTGTGAATGATGAACGCGTTGAATCCATTTCGAATTGTGTTTGTAAGCTAAGTAGGTAGGTTCATGGCCTTTATTAAAACCAGGTGAGAACTCAATGATACAAGGATAGTTTGTCGGGGGAAATTCACTGAGAAATGCAGGCGCGAGCTTTCAGGAAACAACGCTGTGAAGGCAGCAGGTCAGCAAAATTGCATACTTGTGGTGCAGTGTGCACTACAGTGCAAGGTAAACATTTAGAAACCCCTTAAGTTTATATTAATCAACAGCGCTGTAATTATATAATTATAAATTTGTGCACGAATGTACATAAAAGGTAACAACGGTCCATTCCTTGCATGCTTTCTCAGGTCTCCCCTGAAAATTAGAAACCGCGTCTCAGCGGGCACTCACCTGAATCGTAACCAAAACGGAAATTGAGAGGAATTCTTTGCACGTCGGGGGCCCCCATTTAGCCGATCCCCCAAGGCACCCAATGCCCCAAACACTTCAACCCTTAATCCCTGCACGCTGCGCCCCACGCTAATCATCATTAGATGTCATACTAACAGGCAGATGTCACGACGAAAGTATGCCAACTCTCCATCCTAAGACCATGTCATCCACAATGCGCCCGCACTCGGATCCCAAAAGGTCGGTAGGGTCGAGCCTGATTTATTTTTGGATTTAGCGCTTGGTTGAGAACCGGATAGGGAAGACGATATGTTTGGTAAGCTCTGGGTACCAAGGTGGCCAAACAGGGTCAGTAAGCGTTGTGGGTTTTTATCGGGATGCCCCGGTTTCGTCCCACATGAATCCAAAAGCTCATTAATGGAATTGGCAAGATGTCCCTATGAAGGAGCCTTCTGCAAAAAAACAGTCTTCAAAATCAGTCGTTCCTTCACAAAAAAATGGGGGAATTGTTACATTGTTTGCAAATGTGCTTAATTTCCCTGAAGAGTGAAAACATTACTTCACAATGTCTTCTCACTTTCAATATGTGTATATTTATGTTGTTATTATGATGAATGAATGATGAAGGCATTGTACTTTTTTTCTCCAATTTATATGAAATTATGCTTTTAGCTCATGCCAATAATTCTACATTTGGAGCCCTCACAGAGCAGTTGCATCCCTTTTGTGTTAGAGAACAGCCCACGGATCCCTTCAAGTGACCTCTGGTATACACACGAGGGGGGCAGCACTTTTCCACCCACTCTGCCAGCGAGAGTAATATTCATCACACGTCAATCAAACCAATATTTGTAACTCTCAGAGCTGGATATTTAGCCAATTTAGGTACAGCCCGTGGGTTTATTTCTGCAGTCATTGTCGACAGGGCTGAGACATACAGCTCACTGACCTTGAGAACCTGGTTTAACCACGGGCGCTCCACTGGATTTGAACCTGGGATCTCAGTTGAGGTAGTGCAGTTTTCAATATAATGATTGGTCTACACTTCGCGAAAAGTCTTCAAGACTTTTAAGTGTGCAGTAGCACATCTTGGCTAGGGACAAAGTGGACATTCTATTGGCAGCACTGAAAGCGCTGCGCAGTAATGGAACTTAATTTTTCCTTTTATTGAGCAAATTTATTTTTGTTACACGCACAGGGTGCATATGCATTCGCATGTGCCAGTACCCGTCCTCGATTGTTATGGAAAATCTCTTTGGCAGGGGAAAGTAACCATTACATAATATTCTGTAACGGTTTGGGGAGTTATGTTCCACCTGCTAATATTTCACTCTGCACTTTGGGAAAAAAACACCCAGTGCTGTATCTAAATACGGTACACAGCTATTTCAATTTGCCTCATTGCCAATGTGCAACAAGACATATATACAGCTGCTACATGTGTGTAAATAGTCTGCATGCAAAACTACAAAAAAATCTATATCAAAATCATTATCTCCCACGACCTGCTCAAAAAATTCATAGGTTGGCATGCACGTGATGGAAATTCCATATGTCCATGGTTAGGTCAGTTCGTTCCTATTATTACAACACATATTTTGCAAAAGTGAATATTGTCTCTATGGGCTCTCTCCTGGTTATGAATACATCTCAGTTGTAAATCTCAACCCTTTTGTTCTGTACGATATTTGTAATATTTAACTGAGCATAGTCATATATTTTGCACTCCATCATTGTTTGCTGACACGGGTCTCTTTTTCAAAATGAGACATCTGGTCCCAACAGGCTCCTATCTGGCATTAGATACACGAAGTATATTTGTAATGTCAGCTATTTATCTTGTTTTTTTTTGTAAATTCAACTTTTAATTTAAATAAATTGTGTTTTGCACAACAGGTAGAATGATTATTTTCAAGTCAAACACTTCCCGTGGATTTCAAGGCGAAGGCAGCCATGGTAAGAACAAATACCACTGAGACCTTTGCTATTTTAGGGCAACTGAACTCTTTCCTAATAGCCTGTAAATGTGACACCGCTGCCCATTTACCACAACAACCCGAGCTATAAAAAGCAATGCTGGCTACCAAATTCACAGCCGGTAAACAGCTATGAATGCAATTTTGTCTTCATGATGGCGCAAGGAATGAAGACTTTTTGGGGCCAGAATACACAAAACAGAGCTCTCAAAAGCCTACTTGCGAAGACTGCGCAATGTCCAGACCTGGTATATCAATCTGGCTGGTGTGTTTTTCACACCTGTGAAACTTGACGTCCCAATGCGTTCCATGACAATGTGATTAGTGACCCCCACTGCTTGTTTATCCTCTTTGGTTTTTTTTCCCCCTGCCACATCCATGCAGGCAACAGATGCAAACCGGTCCTCTTCTAAATAGAGATGGGTGGTGAGTGTGAATACTGCCGATATAATGTCTCCTGTTCGACCTATACGGGTCTTTTCCCAATATTATGCACAGGCCACCGCCTCTGGTGGTGGCATTGCCAAATCGTGAGGAGTGCATTGTGGGTGCCGCAGGGCATCTGAGGAGATGATCCGTGGTTTGTTTCCCCTGACAAGCAGATTGAATTCGAGCACGCAAAATTGTCCCTGTGTAATAGCAGTGACCCAATTCTCCCTAATAAGCCAACCTGAATGTCCTCCGCACGTTCTGAATGTCTGGTGTGGTAGGTTGCTGCCGCCAGTCTGGAGCCCCTTGTGCTGCTGACTCCCTGCCCCTGTTCAAGTCCAGGCTTAAGACCTTCACTTTTTTTTCCCTCTGGCTATGGTTGACTGCCTCTCTCTACAAAAAAAAAATACGTAAAAAAATAAAAGAGATAGCGAGTCTAAACCAGCCAGCACGTAGTTAAACCAACACATCACAGGGTACTCATAAGTGGACACTACATTGCTGGTACACTCGCAAGTGACCAAAGCGGACACTGTGAACAATTTTCCACGATGTTTTAATTTATCTTGCCCGCAATGTGCGTACGTATGTTGGAGCTTCTTTTGCACTGTACGTAGCCAATCATGCTAATCGGGGGTACGGATCCCTTTCAATCCGCTTCAATCCGCCCCGTGTCTATGCGCCATGCACTATCGCGAAAGCTCTGCACGCATATTTGTTTGTGTAGAAGGGTGTCTCTTGGTCCACTTTTCCTGACAAATCTGCTTTGAATTTTTCCCCTCTGCTTTGCATCGAGTGCCTCTTTTCCTCACGGGACTTGAGCAGCGTTTTTTGAGTAAAAATGACCTCAGCAGCGAAGGGAAGGCTGCATTGCCGAATCATTCAGGAATTCATTTTTTTTTAATGGCTGTAATGCTGCCCGTCTCTAACTCTAAGATTATTTCTTTTGCAGCTGTAATAGCCAAAATATTTCACACAATTTATTTATTTTCTCTTCCTTCCACATCGGTAAAATATACTTTGATGTTCAAACATCGTCCTATGCCTCTGCGGAGGCTGACATCAACATGAGCATGGATCCGAGACCTTCACTGGGAACAGAAACGTCTGCCCAGTCATGACTCAGAATGGATAGAGCTAAAAGAAAATGACGTGGAGTTATTAAAATACCATTTGTGCCTGCAATCACAGGAAGTGTTATACTTTAAATTTCATTCTTGTTGTAAGTCTTCGTTCAATAATATCTGCCCAAGTGTGTTCAAGATGCATTGGTGCCCATGAGTATTAACGTTGTATATTATCGCTCCTGTATATCCTACTTTGCCATCATGGTCACGTCATGAGGTGATGAGACATCATCCTTCCTGGACATCTTCAGTCAGCAGAGAATCTCATTTCATGTCAAAGGACGATGCCACGGAACCACTCGGCGCGTAATGATTCACCCTCGCGTTGCTTAACGGAATGTCAATTCCACTCAAAAATAACATCTTGTTTTGCCCTTTTGGCGAATGTAATGCCCCTCTCGTGTCTGCAATGGTCAGGGGAACCAGTTGCATATAACGTATACAAATTTTAAAGAAATGTAATCTAACAATCATTGATTTAATTAATTGTAGTGCAGTAATCGAATTTAAGCAATGAATTGATGCATCATTACGATACTTCGCAATTGGCCTCCCTAACCCGCACAACACTGAGCGGTTGCTCCGTCACGGTCTGTAAAGAGTGGATCGATACAAACTTGAATAGGATCCTCTGTAAAGTCATCCTTTGAAGCTGATCTAAGCTGAAAGAACAACCTCAACGTTGCACCTCTGGGATTTGTTGTCTGCCGAGGCGAAGGACTTCAGTTTTGCATCAGACGAACTCTCGGCCCGGCGAGCTGTGCTCCAAAGACGTTGAATTACGTTCACAACAGCTTTCTTGACGTGCGGTGAATTTTCACAGACGGGCGCCGTGGGACCAAGAGTGCCAGGCTGGAAACAGCCGACACGGGGAGAAAGGCCCGCTTTCAATACCCGTGGTGCGGGCTAATGTGCAGGTCGAGGCAAGAATTTTTGAAACCATAAACAATGGTGAGTTCTCACCAGAGGCTCACGCAACGCAATGCCACAGTTGAATATGGAAACACGGCGTTCCATTGCAGTGGGAGCACGGGTTGGGTTGCGTGCGGGGAGAACGGGGAGCTGAGAGGAGACGAGAGAGGGACAGCGCTGGAGGAAGTGAGCCCGACCCCCCCCTCCCCCGCCAACAACCCCCCTCCCACCCCGTCAGGGCTTCTAAACGGCAATGCCATTTTGAGGCATGAGCTGCCTTTCACGGGCGGGATAATAATGTAATCCTAACCACCCAGGTCACATTGGAAAACAACTAATTTGTGGCCAAAATGTTTGCCTATATTTTCGTGATTTCGTCAGCAATTTGGTCACAATTTTGATGCGGTGGCCGGCAGGCTTGCTGCTGCTCTTGCGTTTTGTGCCATAGGCTGTGAGTGGCAATCATGGAAAGCGGATACCTCGGGACTCGTTGTCGCCGCCCTGGCTGCCCTGGCTGGCGCCCGGTGTTGTCGATGCCGGGCCGAGGTTGCTTCATCATAGGCTGTGCCATTGGTGATCCCCTCTCACTTCTCTCCCGTGATTCCATGCCCTGACATCCCCCCCACCCCTCGCTCCCGCCCCCACCTTTTGCTCCAATGTACTGCCGTTATTTACCTTTTTTAGTAAGCATCCTGAGTTTGTAATTGTATTCAGATGCTTATGTAAACATATACAAATGGCATTTTAGCGAAATGGCCTTCAGGTGTAATGATTGAAAAGTCAAGCACCTCACAGCCACCTTGGGCTTGCACTGCATGTAAACACTGCAACATGAATTGTGAATTTGTTAAAGTGCTGAGTTCCAGTAGTGACTTAAAAAAAACATAACATTTATTCACTCAGGAACGAAAGCCCTCAAGGGCAGTGTTTTACTTTGATAAATGTGCAGCGCATGAGCCGTGGCAGACTTCAACTTCTCAGCATCCACCCACCATCTGTAGCTGCTAGAACAACCTCCTAAGTCCTTGATGCTGCCTAGATGTTACAGGCATTACCCCACTCGAACATTGTGGAGCCTCACTTGAAAAACTAATTTGAAAATAGGCTGCAGACCGGGCACACATAAGGTGAGCGCGTCCTGTAGCGCAGCTGATTGATCGGCGCGCTACTGAAGTAAAGGATTTGCGAGTTCAAATCCCCGCTGAGGTAAACGCAGCTCATCATCCCTCTGGGGAAACAATGAGCACAACCTGCTGTGTTGTGTGAAATGGTTGTGCTATGGAGAAACTGAGAGGAGACTGGCTAAAAGAAAGTGAATTGTCAATTTCTTTCTTAGGCAAGGACACGTGGCTTTACAACAAGACAAGCCCGTTGCTTTCACACAAGAGGGCCTCGGGACTGCCAGAAGAGATCAGCACCACTCAACTCAAGCTTTAAAGTGGTAACACCGACTGTTGGATGCTTTTATATTAGCATACAAATTACATTTAAAATTACAGCCTCGGTAAATGAAAGAAATGCGTTGTAAAATTAGGACAAAAACGAGTCAACTCGGGGAAATTACATGTGGAGTGTACAAAAACAATGAGGCTTATGCCGAATCGTTCGCAATGAGTTGTCCAAGGGGACTTTATAGCCTGGAACAAGGCGCAATCGTGGTGAGACTACAACTCTCAATTTAGAATGATACAGTATATATTGATCATTGTGAGTACTTGTACCGTAATTGGAAAAAAACAAAAACGAATTGTTACCTTACTCATCAGTTAAGGTCATCCTAAACTTGTGAATTGCTTAAGTTCTGTCCTAAACACGAATATTGAAATACAAATAAAATCTCCATCATCAGCGAAGCAACACATTTTACACCCATGGGGGTGTGACACTAATGCCAACGGAAAGCGGACAAACCTCACTGCCGTATCAAAGTGTCTCTGCTCAAGCGAATACTGAACAGTGCTCTCATTGCCAGTGGTGGCACGGAGCTGGCGGTGGAAATTCCACATTCCTATGGTGGGGGGCCAGACTGTCTGCAGGACAGCCGATGTCGGCGTGCAGGTCGTGCACGGGTCCGATCGTAAAACCGGCGAGACTCACAGATGTCGGAGTCGGGGGTGAGCGGCGAGCGGGCGGTCGCGTGGAAGCAGACGGTGGCCGTCACGCAGATGGAGTCCTTCCCGTTGCGCAGGCAGCTCTTGTTGAGCAGGTTCACCTTGGGAGGGCTGAAGGTCACCGTGGCGTTCATGTGAACGATGCTGCGCGACCTGCAGCGTGGTTGCGGGAGAGCGACATTTGTATCGGCGCTAGGCAGGAAACTTTGTTCATTTTTGCATTGTTCTATAAAGAGGGGTTCGGCGTGTTACCATCATGTTCAAGTTTATTTACCTGCAATGCCGGGCACGGTTGCCACCTTCCAAAGAGCGATATTTTTTATTTATTAAATTTACAAACGCACAGTATACTCCAAGGGCACAACCAGCGAAAGAGGCAAACAAACACAAAAGCCTACATTCGGAGAAATGTGGCAGGATGGTCAGGATACGGGTGGGTGGAGTTTGGGTGATAAGGGGAGCAGGCCCATTGTAAATGGTACGAGGAAAATGAAGCAAGTTGATAAGATAACAATATGCTGAGGCTAGGTTGCTACTTTCTGAGGTACAAATAAAAAAGGATATATCACGGTAATAAGACTATCTAAAGTAGCAGAACAGGGGAGGTCGACGAGTAAATGCGTCGTAATTAGCGGTGTAACATTTACCAACGGACAAAGCACCAGACTTTTAATGTCCCGGGGGGGAAAAAAACTAATTGTGAAGCTGTTTTCAAGAAGCAGACTTTTTGCAAAAATAATTTTAACCTTTGCATTATTTTTACACACAGAATCAGACAAAGACAACTTTCTGCCAATATAACGACAGGCATTTAAAAAGAGCTGAATGAAAACAATAAACATTTAAGAAGACTTCGCCAAAATCCAAACTTTCACAACATTCACAAGACCCATCCACCTTTTGGGCCCTGGTGCAGCTGCACCGCCTGCACGCTGGCCAGCTACGCCGCTGGGTGGGAGTGGACGACGCAAGTGAGAGAGGAGCGGAGGAGCTGGGTTTAGTCCCGTACCACCTCACCGTAACAAGACGGCGTTGCCCAGGGCGCCCACGCTCAGGTCCACGATCCCGTTCCCATCCACGTCGAGGCGAGCGTCCACCGAGCGGCCAAAGTAGACCAGGCTGGAGCTCACGTCCACTGCCGCAACCCTCTGGGGGTACCAGCGACCGCCGGTACCGGCAACGCCAGGGGGGGCACACAACGCGGTTCCTCATCACCACCTTCAATTAGCACGGTTGGCTACGTATGGTGCGAAAAAAGTTCAACATCCATACCAGCTGTGTCGCATGCCGGCTATTCGGGCAAGCCACACAAGGTGGTTGTTCCAGATTTAATTGTTTAACCAGGTGAGAACTCATGAGACCAGGAGAGGTCTCATTTTCGTGCGTGACCTGGGTGGTCAGAAGCTAGTGATGGCTGGGGAATCTCAGGGGAAAGCAACCTTACAAACGGAATACAATGGGGAGCTACTTGTGGCCGGGTGGTACCCATGTTAGTTGTTTGTAACGTTCTGACCCGCCCCTACTGGACATCTTTGAAAAAGAGCTTTATAGCTCATCGGATTGCTCCAGTGTAAATTAATATTCAGATTCTGAATAGTAGGTTTCAATGAGTTGATGGACATCCCAGCACTTTTTATCTCTCACCACTGACGTTTGCCATGGCCAGGAATTGAACTCGGGTGGTCGGGTTCATAGCGCAGTGCAAGAATCACTGCGCCACCACTCCCCACCCCCCAGTAGTTAACACACGGTGTTAGTTTTCCATCATGCAAATAACACAATTCTCTAAAACATCATGCTTAAATGTTAGTAAAGCTATTTATAGGCAGTACTATCCATACATCCGCGTATAGCATAGCATTCACATACCTTCCTGTCTGTAAATGTGCACATTATTCACACTTAAACCCTTACCCTGTTACCCTGCCGTGTGCCTATCGTATTACTGTGTACACACTTGTAGGTCAAGTGCTTTGTATCGTTTTCAATTGTGCAGGCCTTTAGCAACTTTCACAAGTCTGCCCACGTGCGACGCTAGCGGCAAATCCAAGCAGACTTTAATATAAATTGATCCATTGCAGCACAACGCGCACATTTTTTTATGATCTTACTTCATAATTAAAAAAACATTTTTCCAAGTAAGCGGACCTTTTTTTATGAGGCTAAACATGTCATGCGAGAGCCCCTTGGAATGCGAGTTCACAGCTGTGACGAACAGCGTTCTCCTGCAAGTGATGACGGTGTCGTTTGTACCATTGGTGGCTGTGAGCTGTGATGGTAGTTATGGAAATAGCGGTGGTCATGGAAATAGTGGTGGTCATAGCGATGTTGATGGCATTTTGGTTGTAAAGGTGGTGATGGCAGCCAATAGCAGAGCCAGGATTTTCAGGTAGGGGGGGCAACCCCTCCAGAATTGAAAAATGATAGGAGTTGTTATTAAGTAAGGACTTATCCCTTGCTTTTAATTCGACGCGTGTGCGGCGATGGCGCAGACATCGATCGAGGGTCGAATTCGAACCGTGTGTGATCGGCATCGCGCTCGCTGAAGGTGAATGCCTTCAGGGAAGTCGTGGACTCTGTATACGCAACTGCGCACAATTCTGAGTGACTTATAACTGCTTTGCGTTACCTATAGAAATTAGGGATTTCGATCGGATCATTGTGGGGGCACCCCCCCCCCCCCCCCACTGCCAGTGATGGCACCAGTGATGACAGCAGTCATGGAGGTGCCGCTGGTAGTCATTGATTGTGATGGTGATGGTTAGTTGATGTCGCCAATGGTGGTTGAAGTGGGTGTGACGGTAATGATGGAAGTGATGGTGGTGGTGGCAATGGCTGTAGTTGTAATGGTGTTGATAGCGGTCGTGGGTTGTGATGTATGCATGTTGAACGTCTTTCACACCATACGTAGACAACCGTGCTAATCGGAGATGCAAGGGAAGGGCAAAAAACTAAACACAAAAATCAATTCTAAAGAAATACATTTTCAATGTAGATTTAACAGTGCACAGCTCCAGTGACTTCCTAATATCAGAAAGGAAGAGCATTCCAGACGGCTGCAGAAGCGCATTTGAAAGCGCATAATGCAGTGACCATCGTTGTTCGATGGCTAGCCATCAATAGCTCGTTATGGTGGAACACGAGACCTTCCGAGATTAGGAAGCCACCGTAATTTTGCACTTTTTAATCCAGATTGAAAACTCAATTCTTTGCAACATCTTTTTGTGTTCAGTTTGTTGTCCTTCCCCGCACCTCCAATTAGCACGGTTGGCTAGGTACGGTGCAAAAGAAGTTCAACATGCACACACACAGACCTGTGCGGGCTGCGGCCTCAAGATGCGCCCGCGGCCGTGGTAGATGTAGAGGGCCCCACGGTGGCCGTCCTCCAGCGGGGCCCCCACCACCACGTCCGCCAGACCGTCCTGGTTGATGTCGGGCAGCAGCGCGATGGCCGTGCCGAAACGGGCGTCCTGCTGCCGCTCCTCCGCGTGGAGAAAGCCGGCCGGGCGGAACGCACGCTGGGTAGAGAGAGGAGGAGACCGCAAGTGAAGTTGAAACTCAATATTTTAAACGATCGACGTTTGCACCTTGTGTGCGCGGCAGTGGCACAGCAGTAGAGCGTGCAGGGGGTGCCTCTGTTCTGGGACCCGTCGAACGAAGAGGCCCAGGTATTGGGCAACAAAGAGAGGGAGAAATCGGATGGGGAAGGCCCCATTTAATTCCCTGCACACCAGGGCACATGCCAACCGCAATATGCCGTTGGTATGCAGCTTGGCATAAAGTGGATTTAAAACCGAGTCGTGCGTGTGGGATTGCACCTGTGTGTAAATTCGTTTTGGTCATCGAGAATGATCGTGCAGCGTGTGATGAGTGATGATGACAGTGGTGATAAAGTAGATACAATTTCCAGCCAGCCCGGCGTGAGAACCCACGACAACTGGGTCTGTCCCACGACCCACTCCTGTCAGCAGTGACCTCGGGAGTGCCCCATGGCTGGCAAGGGTACCATGATGATGTCACCACTACCTGGTTGTGGATGGCAGCTGTTGAGTGAGTGAGTGGTGCTGGTCACATCACCTTCAGATGCACTGTGTTGGCCTCTATGAGTTCTTGCTAACAGCACTCTATGTAGGCTGCATGGGCAATGTTTGTGCGTGTGTTTTTGTTAACCTTTGTGCACGTGTAGTGGATTAACACGCGCATACAGGGTGGATGGTAAAGACGCGCAAGTTATGGACAGTGGGGTTACGTCGGGCCGGCCAGGTGCGGCGGCGGGGAAGCGTGAAGTAATGACGGGCCAATTAAGTTGGTAAGCGATGTACGGCCGTGATTGGCCGGGGTTGTTGTCAAGGGCGGAGTGGCGCCGGAATGTCTGGTAATAGAGGGGGCGAGTAACAGGTGCGGGGGACGCGGGGCGTCGGTGGCACGCGGCCTAATTAATTGGTTGGTAATGAGAACGGAGATATATTTGGGAGACGGGAAGAACGAGGGGAGTTATCGCTGGGACTGGAACGAAGCAGGTCGGGGAGAACCGGAGCGAAGACATAGGAGACAGAACAGGTTAGCAGTGGAGTAGAGAAAAGCAGAGACAAGCAGAGACAAGCAGAGACAGGTAGAGACAAGCAGAGACAGGCAGAGACAAGCAGAGACGGAGTGAGGCAGAGACAGAGCGAGAGCGAGATACAGAGACAGTGGGAGAGAGACAGAAATACAGCGTGAGACAGAGACAGAGAGAGACAGAGATACAGCGTGAGACAGAGATACAGCGTGAGACAGAGACAGAGAGAGACAGAGACAGCGGGAGAGAGACAGACATACAGCGTGAGACAGCGAGCGACGGAGAGAGACGGAGACAGCGAGTGACGAAGAGAGACAGGGAAGACGCAGAGAGACAGTGAGGGTTAGGGGAGGAAGCGGAGCGAACGAGATGGGCGGAGCGCGGCGAGCGAGCTGCGGCTAAGCGGAATGACGATGTCACAGACGTAATGTGAAGAGTTGTAATAAAAGTGGTGTCGGAGAAAACAATAAAGTTGTCCGCATCAAGTCAACCACTACACACGTGTCCGTGCTTGTATATGTGTGTGTGTACCTGCATGAGCACGGCTACCCATGTATTTGTGTGTGTCTTACGTTTGTGTGGGCGAACGAGCTTGCGTGCGTACGAGTGTATGTACGTACGTCGAACTTCTTTCGCGCCGCATGTAGCCAACCGTGCTAATCGGAGGTGCGCTGGGGCATGCGGGGGCACGAATGAAGCCTGTGGGGGCACGTGGGGGCACGAAGGAGCACGCGGAGGCACGTGGGGTATGCGGGAGCACGTGGGGGCACGCGGAGGCACGCGAGAGCCAACCTGCGTCAAGGTGTACACGTAGACGCGGCCTGTCTCGCGGTTGCCCGGCCCCAGGTACATGGGCGCGCCCACGAGCAGCAGGTCGCTCACCCCGTCGCAGTCCACGTCCACCGACAGCACCTCGCTGCCAAAGTACGAACCGATCTGCCGCACAGAGATCAAGACAGCAATTGCTCGCGTACCACTTCTCAGTCACGCGCACACGTACACAAACAGCCCTTTGTCGTTCCACCGCTGGAGGCCGTGCGGGTCAAGGGGTTATCTTACAATACTTTACTGCATTGGTCTGTGTGGTTTTAGTGAAAGGGCGGCCCCAGGGAGAGGTTCCGATTTCACTTGCCACTGATGCTAGCCGTGGCCACTAATGGAACTTGCGTGGCTAAGTTCACAGTGCGGCATGCTCGCCACTGCAAAACCACCGCTCCCAACCCTTTAAGAATTATCAACTGAATGAAACGTGTCAGAAGAGAGAACCGTTTAAATAAATAACTAGCAGACGGTATGCACTACGCTTCATCATTTCAAATTCCAAAGCTGAACCCCAGGTCATGCACAAATCCGTTTTACATTTACAGCCCAAGAGCAGAGGGCCGTGGCACGGGGGTTTTATTACCGTCCTGATCCCCAGCAACGGTCGCCAGCTGCCGCCCTCGTGTAAGCAGTTTGAATTTAAAGGGCGGCAGGAAGAGACTTAACAAGGGACGGGGCTCTTCGCCACATGTTCGCGATTTATTTTTTTATTTTCTTTCAAGAAGACTAATGCGATAATGCGTGCATCGGGTGGCAAGTAAAGTTGCTTTTAACACACACACACACCAACAAGGCTCATTCCTTGAGACATGCTGGTCTTAACAGGTAGATATGATTCGGCAAAAAAAGGGTGCATTGCAGAACGGGAAAGTGGTGGGTTCGCGAAACAGGCGTCGTCTCCACAAGTGCAGCACCCTAGGGGAAGACCTAAGACCGGATGGTGGGATACTCTGTTCGGGCCCATCTTGGAGGTCGCTGTGTGTCTACTGTGCGTCAGCTGTGGGATCTGGTGGAGGGCAGAGGTTGCGGTGGCATCAATGGCTTCGATCACGACGACGTCTTCATTTCTCTCTTCCACACAGGCGGTCGCTCGCCGGCAGCACTTGCCTTGGTTGATGTTCAAAGTGTACATGCCGGTTATTTCCATACCCGTCAATCCATACGGTTTACCCGTATTCTTCAGGTCCATACGGTGTACAGACGTTTCAATACGGGCAAACATTTTGTTCTTGTCCATTTGTTTGTGTTTCTCCCATGCGATGGGACTTTGTAGGATGAACATTGAGATTTATAAGGGCACAGGGTGACCAATAAGATCCGAATTGGTCTGTAATAAGGGGTTCACAGGTTTGTATTTCTCAAAGGCTGATTCACAATACGTACACTGTACAGGATATAAAAACGTAAACAATAATACCGATTGGCAGCCCTCCCCTCCACTCCCTCATTACTGTAGCAGTGGACCCCCCCACCCCGCCCCCCCAGGCCAGGTCTCACCTGGTCCCCGTGGATGGCCTGGTGCACTGTCACGTGGGCCTGCTCATCGAGGCTGAAGATGAGCACCTTGCCCGTGTGGTTAAAGCGCGGCGCGCCGGCGATGTAGTGCTCCGCGTAGCGGCTCGGCCGGGCTGACCCCACCGAGTAGCCTGCAAGGGGTCACCGGTGCATGAAAAGGATGCCTCGTTAGGGGTCGGCGACGGAGGCCGCCCGATCATGTGCGTGTGCACGTATAGTGAACTTCTTTTTCGCACCGTATGTAGCCCTACCGTGCTCATTGGAGGTGCGGGGAAGGACAAGAAACTGAACACAAAAAGTAGTTGTAAGGAAATGAGCTTTCAATCTGGATTCAAAAGTGCAAAATTCCGGTGGCTTCCTAATCTCAGAAGGTCTCGTGTTCCACCATGATCTCCGTCGGCACCACCGTTACTGCCATCACGAGCTATTGATGGTTAGCCATCGAACAAAGATGGTCACTGCATTACGCGCTTGCAGGACAATGAACTATCATCACGGTATCCGCTAGAGATGGTAAAGTGCATTCAAATAACTGGGGGGGGGGGGGGAATGTACCTTAGATAGCAATTAACTGTTGCTATGAGTTGCCTGTGAAGTAAGATGCTCATCATAAATGTAATTAAATGTAATTGAATTGCATATTTCATATAAATGCTGCCCATCTCTGTCAGTGTGTGTCGGTAAATGCCGACTCGTGCTGGCCAAGGGGCAAGTACTGGCAAATACTGACATCCAAACTAGACAAATGGAACTCTCTCCTCCATTAAGATCACTTATCTTTCCTTTTGCGTCTTCTCTCAAACTGCTCAACTCAGAAATTCCCTCCCATTGTCTCTTTTTCTGTTCTTAGAACCTTTCTCAATGCAATCGTGCTCTCCGTTGACGGACGCTTGTCACATTGGGCCTTTGGGCCTACGTTCAGTAAAACGTGACTTAAAAACAAAAATGTCATACCAAAGCGAATCGATAAAATCGCCAAATCGGTGAGTCGTCACGCTGCCTAACAAGCCGACGCGGCAGCTGGTAGCGATGGTGGCCGCCCCCCCCCCCCCCCCTATGGTGAGCGTGGGGGCCCCTCTCACCGAGGTAGGCGGCGTGGTTCTGGAGCTCCACGGGGGCCTCCTTGCCGAAGGCGGAGCGAGCGGGCACCGTGAAGTGGGTGCCCCTCTTGCGCACGACGGAGCCGCCCCAGTCGTACGCTCCAACAGCGCCCAGCAAGATCCCGTCCTGAGTGACGGGGAAAACGAGCGGAGACGTTAGCGGGGAAAAGGGGACCGGGAGCTAATGAGTTTCACGGGGCCGCATCACTCTGCAGATCGAATCGACGGGCATAGTGTCTCAGGGTTCAAATGTTATTACGTATGTTGAACTTCTTTCGCACCGTACGTAGCCAACCATGCTAAATGGAAGTGCGAGGGAAGGACGACAAAATAGACACAATAAGCAGTTCGAAAGAAGTGAATTTTCAATCTAGAGTTAAAAGTGCATAGCTCCAGTGACTTCCTAATATCAGAAGGAAGAGCATTCCAGACGGCCACAGAAGCGCATCTGAAAGCACGCGATGGCCAGCCAAAAGCCGCTGCGAGGCTAAAATGAGCATGGTCTCTGACTGTAAGTCACAATCTGCAGTCTTCTCTCTCTCTCTCTCTGCTGTGCATATGGAGCGGTGCTTCGAAATGCTCGCTCGGGATTTCAACAACTATTCCTTGAGCCCCCGAGCCATTTTCCACTCGCATACTGCACAGATGCTGTACACTTTTGGCTTATTCTCTTCACTTTTTCATAATAATTTTGGGACAGTCGTGCAATGTCTTGAGGTTGGCACGTTAACGTATTGAGGCTGCATTCCCATCGTGACAAACGACGTCATCTCCATCGCCAAAAGTGGGGCGTGATCCGCGTCGTTGTCGGCGATGGAAAGTTTTCGCCAAAAAAGTTTTCGCCCAAAAAAGTTTTCGCCAAAAAGAGTTTTCACCAAAAAAGTTTTCACCAAAATACTCACACGCGAATCTGACCCCGTAATTCAACATTTCCGGTACTTACGTTCGTAATATTTAACAATTAATTTTTTTATGTATTGGCCATGTGCTACAACTGCCCTTTAATTCGGTGTTTCATTTGCTTTGTTCCCACCTTCACCACAGCTGCTGAGAACCCGACTTGAGACATCTCCATGTCGAAGGACGTTTCGTTCTGCGTCACCGTCCCTGGCGCGCCGCAATGAAGGTGGCGTGAGCGGTAAGAAATTTAAAGATCGCTCGCTCACAATACCACAAGTATGTGTGATTAATGCAGACTCGATGCCAGCGTATTTGGTGTGTGGATATCTTAACACCTCCTGTAATTATGCCAGAGAGGGTAAAGCCTTTTCTATCATTGAATATCTTGTTACTGGCAAAAGGGTTCTATAGATAAATATATATACTGTTCGAGATTTGCAACTGCTTGCAATTAGTTGATGTGAGATTCCTGCAGCCACTAGAGGTGCTTCAAGACCATAACGTTTAAAGAGTTGACCGGCACTCCTCACCCTCCAGGCTGAATATCCGCTCGCCTAACGTCCCCACGATATCGTTGAGGGCCGCCTCGTCCGCCACGTTGATGAAGTGCTTCTCCTCGGGCTCGCTCGAGATGGCCTTCAGCTCCGATATGAAGTTGGAGGGGTCGATGTTCTTGCGCTTGTAATAGCCGAGCACCTGGAGGAACAGCGCACACGTGTAGGTAAGAGCAGGGTGGGCGGCTGAGCAGTGAAATTGGGACATTGACGAGACAATGGGTGATGAGTGTGTGTGTGGTTGTTTGGAATACTTCACGTGGGTTAATGTATATTTTTTATATAAGTTTAACAAATGTGGGTGTTATCCCCATCGAGACGATTGTTCATTTTGTAAGGTTTCTATTTTTTAGAAAACACAGCTCCACCTGGATAAAGTTTTCACAACATCTGACAAAAGTCTGATGAAAGATTTGTATGAAAATGTGGCTATTATGGTGAGAATAATAGCCCATTGTCCATGGGCCAGAGCAGAAATTTATATCTCCTGGTGTGACAACTTTTACGGTGCCTATTTATGTGGGCAATGAGAAAATATATATGATTAGTGTTTGCATTAGAAGGTAATCAGTATTCTGATTGGATTTTGTGGGAGTTCACGTGGCACGAACAAGTGAATTATCTGGCCTGAACCACTGAAATAATATATTTAATGTAAATATATTTTTTTATTAAGATTGTTCAATAAAATCTATTGTATTAAATTGATTTGTGAAATACAATAAATTATTAATGTTCAGTGTCATTTCAGGGAGGGGTTTGCTTGTTTGTTTTTTGCAAAAAAACTAATCAAATATTTTTCAATTCACCAATTACAACCCAATGTATTTTCATATCGAGGGTCAGGCCTTGTAATCCCTGGTTCTCCTTGTAAACAGCAAACCGTAAGTCACGTTAAGATAAGTGTATTTCAGAATTATGGAGCCACAAAAAGTTTCCTGAAATCTGTCGTCATGAATTTCTGTAGTTTCTTAAACAAAAAAATCCACAGCAGAATCTGTATATGTTTTATTGTTTCCGTTATGGGAATTATTTTCAGAATAATTTTTGTATACCATTTCCTTACTACGAAGTTAAATAAGCATACAAAATGGTAATTATTGTTTGCTTTTTGCGAAAAAGAACACTTATAAATGGTAAATGTCACGAACATTACATCAGTTGTGCAAGCATAAAGCAGATAGATGCTTATCTTGTTCAAGCATTACTGGCTTTTATGTTCCCCGCAACTATAGCTGCACAATCACATTTTCTTTCTTCACCAAATGTTGATCTATCTACTCGACTTGTATTTCCCGTAACTGACGTAACATGGTCGTGAAATTGTGCAAGATGTTTGAAACAACAATAGTAAGTAACTGATTAGAAGGCTCGCACAAATGTAGTTATATGTAGTGGTCGATGCTTTAGTTATCTCCAACGATCACGTCTCCGCTCGTCTGCTCTTCAAGGATGAACATTTGCCCGTTCTCTGTTCAGCAGTGCTCAGTGCAGTGCTAGCTTCTGCTGTGTCTGCAGTTGCCGCTCGTGCGCCGCACGATGAATGGCTTGCGACGCCCACCCACGTTTAACCCCATCCAAAAACGCACCCTTCGTCGCACTCTCTGATATTTTGCTGAATGGCAAATATCCTCCGCATTAATCGTTCGTGCCCACTCGCCAAGTCAGGTGTCGCTCTTTCGACCGACAACCTTACGTTTTGGAAAGGGGAATAATAAAACATTTTGCCGCAAATGTTTTTTATGTTTTACTTAACCCTGTAAGATAATTGGTTTTTTGAGTTATAAGGAAAATGGCAGACTTATAGAACAAACATCTTTCAATAAACCATCATCGTCACGATCACTTACTGTAACATTTCATAATGCACCCCCCATGTAGCGCATCTCGAGGTGACCTTCGGCAGGGGATCTCCCCCGGTGGCAGCTGTCTCCGCGAGGAACAAGGTGAACGTAGCACCGGCCAGAAGGTGGGCATTAGCCTGACAATAGGGGGCGATGTTCCTGTGGCTTTTCAATCAAGGAATGTGCGAGTAATTGATCAAATGTTCACCCAATAATACCACATGATCTCGTCGTGAACTTATTGAACAACATTTTTTTTACTCTTTTGTTATTTTTCTTTTAACCAGGTAAGGGGCCCACACACTTGAGCTGTATAGCTTTTTCTTTTCCAGAAGCGACCTGGCCACACAACGACAGCTCAACGGAGTGGCCCATCGTGTGGACATTTATAGCCGCCGAGGGCCACCGAGGGCCGACGGCGTTTTTGGCGACACCCGGCACCGTGCGCGCCACTCACAGCGATGGCGTAGCGCGTGATGTTGTCGCGCTCGCACGCGGCGATGGCCTCGGTCAGGTCCTCGCTGTCGTGAGACTCGCCGTCCGTCACCACGATCATCACCTTGCTGGCGCCTTCGCGCGCCCCAAACAGCGGGCTGAAGGCCTCCGACCTGCACTCGGCGCGGAGTTGGTGATGGTGGGTGAGCGGCGGTGGTGGTGTACAAGGGGATGGCATGCGAGATGGAAGCCATTACGTTCATATATTGCTAGATTTAAAAACCAAAATCCCATAAATATGATCATATGCGCGTTCGATAAATGCTTTTCCCACTCCTGGAGGCCAGGAAACCGTCTCCATGGCAGGGGGGATTGGACCGTTTCGTTTTGTAAATTATTCGGTGGGTAGGCAGCCAGACTTCAGGCTTGCAACGCTGCGGGCACAGGACCGCTCCCGATTCCTGATCCCTCCGGGACTGATCGGTTCCAGACGGAGGTGTGGAAAGGCATCTGTGTTGTTGTCACTTATTAGCAATGTTAATGGGAGATACGTATCATGAAACGTGCGTTTGTTATTGCCCGAAAAGAAATGTCTATTTTAGACGAGCGTTTAACTGTGAATCATCTGGAAATTCACAATCATCAACCTACGTCAGACGAAGGCAAGATCTACATTGGTGTGGATTATTTTAACACGAGTCCGGCCCGGGAAGGTCACTCCAAGCGAGTGACATTCCAAATGCACTCATCCTGCGTCTGCGGTGACTCCGCAACATCTGCCCAGGGATTCGAGATATCGGTGCAGCAAATGGAATCATCAATCGATCCGTGTGGAGATTTGAGTGCAATCTCCTCGCACGGTGCACAGGCTTCACCACACTCTATAAATGTCATCGTCCAAACATCCCAACGCTGGACCGTCTTGGAAAGGATTAGCGAGACTCGGCAAGGATTCCCTGCACAAATGAATTACATGGGCCTGCGTCCGTAACTCCATGGGGCTGGCTGGAGCTCGGCCTGGTTGCCGTGGGAGAGCGTGAACTTCGGTGTGAATTCTGAGCCGGTGCAGTCTTCAGCCGTGGAAAAAACAAGCGTACCGAATCGCCGTTCACTTTGGCCCCACAAACCTCCACCCTCAGCCTCTTCTAGTCTCCTACATCTGAATCACCCACTGCAGACGATTATGTACTGTATGTTGAACTTCTTTCGCACCGTACGTAGCCAACCGTGCTAATCGGAGGTGCGGGGCAAGGTCAACAAGTCCCTGGCGCGGAGAGAGAAAAAAACATCCCTAAACATCTCTTGTCACGTGGCTTAATCATTGCGTGTGTTATTGGCTCTGTCTTAAAGCCAACAAAAACAAAATGGCTTGTATTAACGGGTAGTTTTCAGGCAGCAGAGTCTGGCGTGTACGTGTTCGATGGCAAGTAAAGTCAGCGAGCCAAAACATCCACGAGTTTATGCTTCTTTCGCGAAAAAGGGCCGGCGAGAAACACGTTTCTTGTTTATTTATAAATGTGTCGTAACCCTCCACCACCCGACACGGCCAATCAGCAAAAAAAGGTGTCACGTTGACAAAAGACAAATAATTCACTACTTTAGCCCACCGGTGTGTTGAAGAGTGAATCCACATTTACAGTTTGAGTACGACGTTTCGCTGGTAAATACATCCAGCATCATCGGGCAATTCGCCATTCTGGCCATTCTGGCGAATTGCTTGATGATGCTGGATGTATTTACCAGCGAAACGGCGTACTCAAACTGTAAATGTGGATTCACTCTTCAACACACCGGTGGGCTAAAGTAGTGAATTATTTGTCTTTTGTCAACGTGACACTTTTTTTGCTGATTGGCCGTGTCGGGTGGTGGAGGGTTACGACACATTTATAAATAAACGCGATCTAACCCAAAAACCTTTATTATGGACGTTTCTTGTGTTTTACTGCGATACAGTGCTCGTGGCTATGAATTTATCAAACCCAGTTTGTGTGTACATTATTGCGTACATACTGACGCGTTGCATGTGTACAGAATATATATGCTGTATTTCAAACAAACGACTTGGAATCTAACATAGAGTGGAATAAAACATATTTAGTGTTACTCAGAGCAGTAAAATAACATTCAAAGATTGTGTTCGCCAACTAAACATTCTCTGACATCGATCAGGATAACAAATATACCCTATAAAAAAACATGTAAGAGTAAAATACATATGTGAACCCATCAGCTTATTGGCAATTTAGAAGAGGAAAAAAAAATCTGTAATTATAAAATTGTGTGAACTCTGGACCACTTCTGATTCTGCTGATCAAACTCAGAAGATCAAAAACCAATCCAGGATTTTTTTTTTTAAACACGCTGCTGAATTATATTCATACGAACTGTCCATTGTCCGATGGACTGAAACATTATCTATAAATGAAGCGACAGCCTTGTCCATTTATGGGCAGTATATTTGTCGCCCATATCCCCCCAATGGTTGTTCTTAGGGGCATCTTCGGAGAGCGACGTCCGCGCGAGAAGCCCCATCGCACTAAGAGCGTTGCCCTCGTTAACACAGAGCCGCCGAGAATGCAGTTCGCCTAGGGGGGTGGGGGGGGGGGTTTGTTTTATTTCCCCACATTTCCGCCTACCCGCCAAAAACCTCCTTTTGTATACGTCGGGTTTTATTTAAAATTTTGCAGACAGCTGCAGCCTCTCCGTATGCTCCAAAAAACGATCACCCTCCGATGTATTTATTCTGTAACAGTACCAGGAGAGTTCGTGTGCTCTTCGGCCAAGTTCCATTCGCATGTGGAGGGCCCCTCTGCGCCAATTCACCAGATAACTTAAAATCGGTACAGAAAATTGGCCAAAAGAGGCCCTCCCACCATCACTTTCACCGCCACCACCACAATCTCCTCCACTCACTGTTGTGTCCCTACCTCCCTCGCCCACCGCTCTCCTGCCTCACTCCAGAGTTTGCATGGACCCTCACTCGTGCGTGTCTTTTCCCCGGGCCCGAAGCTCATGCTTTGGCGGTTAAGTAATCGTATTCGCATGCCTGCAGCCAATAATGACCATAATATTTGTGTGCGTGCATGTGCTCTGTGCATGACAGCCTTCGAGCGTGGCTCGCACATGGAGACGGGCCTTTAAATATGTTTTTCCCTTTCTGTCCTTCCCCCCACGCCGTTCTCTCTCTCTCTTGCAGACACCTACACACACCACCCCCAACTCCAACCCTCTCTCCCGTTTCCTTCTCCGTGTGTGTGCACACGGCGACCTATATCCAGCACGTGCATCGTCTCAAGCCATCGGTGGGGTGTTTTTTTTTACGCTACTTTTAGTTTTTAACGTGGGAAAGCGTCCGCTCGTTTTGCACTTCATTCCGTCGTGAGCTTCGCGGTCTTACTCGTGTTGTAACGATCTTTCTTTGCACGTGCATTTTTTTTTCCCTTAAATTGCTTTCTCACGTTTTACTGGCGCTTTATCTTGGCTTTAATTAAAAAAAACCCACCCACCTCACTACCTGTAGGCTTTGGCAAAGGGCAGACTAGCAAATATATGAGCATACTGTGCTATGTTCATATGTCTCTACTCCCCGCCTTCACGAACCCGCGTTGACCAATGTGGCATAGCATGGTAAAATAAGCCACATGACCGACACGGCATGTGGAAACCTTCACCCAGCAGTGGATTGACAAAGGGCTATACATATCCTCATATCTTACTACCTATCGACTTGCCTGCCTGTCTGGCTGCCTACCCACCTACCAACTCACCTACCTGCTTACCTATTTATTCGCCTGCTCATATGCCCACCTATCCTCATAAACTGTACCCCTACGTTTCCGAGGCCATAGCGGTCTGGCCAAATGTTGCTGCCAAATTTGAGGATTCAATGCGCCTAAGACAAAGTGACTTTTCAGTTGAAATGTATTTTATTATGTGTTCAGAAATGCATGTTCTGATGTGAGGTGTCCTGGGAATACGAGCCATTAACATGTACAGTATTGACATTCCCTGAGCTTGTGCCAAGTTGCAAGAGTACCTGGGGTTCTGTACAAAGATCCCCCGTATAGCCTTGACACACCGCAGGGGCAAGTGCTGTTAACAAGCCACATGAAGGCCGGCACGGCACGCGAGGGGGCGGGTGGCCAGCATCACGCCCGGCCGCATTTGTCTCCCCTAGTGGCGATGTTTGCACAGGGACCGCTTCAGATAATCGTCACTGACGTTGACCATGAGCGGAAATGGAGCTCGTCGGTTTCCGTACGCCACCGTCCTTACCAGCGTCCTACTTTAGCACTGTAGGAATTCCTGAAGGACATTCTTCAGCTTGGATTTTGAGGGAAAAGAAAAGGACAGATGTTCTGGCCTAACTAAATAAAAATCAACAAACACAGATGGTTGCTTCTCAACGATAGTTAACTGAAAATATCTGTACAGTAGCATATAACCACGTCAAGATGCGTTCAGACAGTTTTTGCACAGATATCTAATTTGTTTATTTTTAGTTTAAAGACATTCCATTTGTCTCGACCGTGTGTAAATCGCAACGGGTTCTGACCAAACCCCCGTATGAGACACTTAGGATTGTGTCAACCTGGCCTCTTTAAAATGGTAAAAATAGCTCATGGATGTTACATAAGCCATGCGAATTTTGGCATCAGTTAATCCAGTCTGGTCTTAGGTTAAATTTTAATTTTTGCAGTATCCCTATTAACCAACCTCCCCCCACCCCCATTTAACCAACCCCCCCGTCACCCCCATTCAACGGTTGGGGGGGGGGGTTAAGATTAAACTCAGGATTGAATTCTGTAAAATTCTTGCCATTTGTGAACCTGCACTTGAACGGCAAAGGAGTCTCAGCGGTGCAGACGACCAGAAGAATGGAATTCTAGACAGTGGGAGCAGCAGCAATGCCTCGCCACGGCAGTTTTTGCAATTCCTCTGGTTGCTGCAGTGAACATTTTTCATCAAATAAGCTCCTCACAAAAAAAAAAACTTTATTCCCTCAGCTTACCAATGTTCCCTTTGCACATTTCTTTTCCCCAGAGCATGCCACTCTCTTCATTGCCAACGATGTGGTGAATCATCAAGGTGATGTTTTGGCCGGTAAGTCAAGTTGTTAATCAGACCTACAATCCCTTCCCACTACACCCACTCTCACACCGCCACCTCTAATGCTATTCGGTTTTACAACATATTGACATATGGTTCTGTTAGATGCTTTAGAAACCCAAACTGTATTGCAAATTTTTGAGTGGGTAATTTTACAATGTCATTGACCCTCAGTCACTGGCAAAGTCGAAGCGACATCCGATGAACACCGATGAGTTGTACAGAGCCACCAATACTTGAGTTTGTTTTGTGTCATTTCAACTCTCTAGAATAAGACCCTGTATGACTCAAAGTCACTACCTCGTTCTGCTCAATATCGATTATGCCAACGCAGTGACCTAAAAGTTGCAGTCGCCCATTGGCATTATTCATTTCCCGTGGATTAAATGACGCAACGCAGGGCCCTGCTGCCATTGGCAGCTTTGGCTGTAAATTTTATGTCAGCGAGGTTTTGGGCGGGGGTGGGGGGGGCAGGTTTCCAGTGCAACTAAAGCTCGCCAATTTCACCATGCCGAGTTTCGTGGCGCTGTAATTAACCCAGGGGATTTTTTTTTACTTCAGAAACCCGTCTGGAATGTCTGCCACGGTTTTTCATCGCAGCATGCTTTATTTAGATTTACCAGCGACAGTCGTAGTTTAAAAAGAAGAAGAAGAAGCCCCTCGAAATCCGCTTGGTAACACGCGCTGCGGTTTTCAGCAGTTGAGCAAAAGTTTTTTTACAGACTCCGATGGAGCTTCATTGCATCTGGCCCACGGCTGGAGCTGGGATGGAGCTAAAGGCGGCTACTGTTCCACTCTGCAGGCTTCCTGTCCTGTGTTCCAAGAGCTCTTCAGAATGCTGCACACAATAAATAACCAACGTTTAAAAAAGTGAATACATTCCAAAGCATTCTTCAATGAATAACAAAGCTTCGCGTGATAGCTTTGCAAAAAAATGGGTTTTTGTAGATTTCCAACGTGTGGATTTCATTACTTAGACCATAGAATGGTCTATGGCCCGGTTTAAAATATTCAGCCTTCGTTTCACATAGGTTAAAAACCCCCTGTTTCATCAAGTGCCAAAGGATGGCTGTTTCACGCGTTCCATAACTCCCTGTCGCTTTGAAAATGTTGGTCAGCGTTGTGTGCCCACTGGTGGTATGCCAAATGGGTAAGGCACTGCTGATGCCCATTGGCATTGCAAGCATCACAGCTGGGTGAATGTGACATCCAACGGCAGACGAAACGTGCCGCCAAGACCGCTCTTTTGAGATAATTATACACAGCTTAATTCCTCAACAAAATATTTTATGGGTCGCTGGTAGGCAGACCGGCTCGGAATTCATGCCTGACCATACCCGCAAAAGCAGCACAGCGAGCCTGCTTAATGCCCTTGTGGGATGACGTGTTCATCTCAGCGGGAATTTTTCCCGGGCTATATCGAACTTCAATTGTCACATTTGCACCTTCCATTATATATATTTAAACAAAAGACGCACGCCACCTAGATGTTTCAGCACTTGCTAACATGCTTAAGGAGCGTATTAGGAGCCCGTTTAAAAAAAATCTAAAACAAATGTAATTATCTGCTAATCTACTGTACGGAGTTGCATGAACTATAATTAATCACGTAGGTTTTTTGGAGAAGCTTTTGCATTTGCAAGTTGTGCCAAAATAACTATAAGCCCTGTGTAAGGAAGTACCGGATGTGGGGGGGGGGGCGGCTGCGTGCAACGTGGCACTGCGTGGCAAAGCTAACGTGGGGAAACCGAGGCACAGCCCGCTGTGGCAAAGATGCCAATTATTATTATTATTCATCCACTAAAAGCCTAGCTGAGTCTCTAAACTCTTTGTCAGGAGGATCCCGCAATTGGATGTTTGGCCAGCAGCATCAATGAGTGTTCTGCTTCATGTGGAAGGGAACCCACCGCGGTGCGTACGAAAGGGCGGCTATAAATATTTTCCACATCCTGAACCCCCTCGCAGGCCCACGCCTACAACACCTGGCAAGTCCTGGTGGTCACCTATCCTCGTCCTAATCACGCTCAGCCATGCTTGGCTTTCGACATCTGATAATATCAGATGCATTCAGTGTGATTGAGTTGCAGGTGAAATGATAGGACGGGGCGTGGTCCTGTGCGGTCGTCCTGATGGCTCAATCGCATGGCATTGCTCAATGTGGCAAGGCACAGCATAGCTTGGCGTGTGTGCTTTGACATAATGTAACAAGTTACTTTAATAATACGCAACGTTTACTTGAATATTAACGGAGCAAACTAGGCTGGTCAAATGAGATAGAATCAAGAAGACTGCACAAGTGAGTCAAACAGTATGAACGAGACGAATACGAATATTTGAATAGTTCACCCCTAATCGTAACAATCATCAGATCATGCTGCAATAGGGGTGAGTGAAGTGAATTGTTGCTTGCATACGTGGCATGGCTCATTTGGGGATTTAAGGAATCGAATAATTGCAACTATGGTAAAGTGCAATCCATCACTCGCATCACTAATCATTGCACACTTTTTCACGAGGTGCAAATGAAATACATCTGGCGATCCCCAAATGCCAATGAATTGCTTTCCAAACTCAACACACAGTTGTAAACTTGGTCCATTTTTCAAATCCCATGTGGAAAAAAAAGAAAATGTGCTTTGGCTCTGTGACTCAGCATGCCATAGCATCGTGTGGCGTGATGTGGTGTGACACTGCCCATCACGTGGCATAGTGCAGCGTGGCACGACGTTTGCGTGGCATGGCATTGTGAGGCATGGCATTGTATGCTATGGTGTGGCGTGGTGTGGCGTGACATGATGTGGCGGCGACTTCGTGTGGCACCGAGTGGCATGGCGCGGCAGTTGGCATGGTGTGGCACGGTGTGACTTTGTGCTGCGTAGCATGGCGTGGCAATGCGTGGCGCGGTATGGCCTGCCTGGCGTGGTTGACCGCGTAGGCAGTGCGTGTTTCTCGGCCCCCGCGCTGCTCGATGTACTTGGCGGCTTGTACCACCTGCTCCGTGGTCTCATAGTCGCTGAGAGTGAACTCGTGCACGGCCGACTCCCCGTACTGCACCAGGCCCACCTGCACCCCGCCACGCACACACGCAGCCCTTGGCGTGAGTTTTCTCTGGATGCCGTGCTTACGTTTGAAGGAAATGGGAGAAAATTTACTTGATTGAGCAAGGGAAAATAATGATCATCCTGAGCTGGTCTCTCCTGAAAGTGAATTTTGAGACGGACCTATAGTTTTTTTTTTTGCCTGGATACATAAAGACACTGGTATGGAGTTGGGGAGGAGTGGTGGTGCAGTGGTTGGCGCACTGTGCTACGAACCCGGAAACCTGAGTTCAATCACCAGACACAGCTAACTTGCATGGCGAGTGATTTTCGAACCCGAAGCGGGTTGACCCACCCCCATTGCTTCACCCACCCGTACTGACCAGCACAGTGAAGTATGGCCACGCAACCCCTGTGATTAACGTGGCATGGCGACGCCTTAATCCAGCAGTGACAAAGGATGGAATAACATAATAATAATAGTAGTTGATCGTATAAACACAGCAATGTGGCGCGCTCTGTTATGTGCGGGAGTGGAAGTGTTCACAATGGTGACTCAGTGTGCTGTTGGTGGGTGTCTTGGCAAAGGCTCCATGCTACACCAGTGCACCAGTTTCCTTTCCATGGCCTACTCACTCGGCAGTCTGCGATGCACATCACGAATGCAGCAGCGGCATGGAGGAGGGCGAAACCTAATCTCTGTTAACAAAAAAAAACCCACTGGACTTAGCATTTACGAACAAAACAAATTGTTTCCCTTATGTTTCCGCTCTCCTCTTCGCCCTCCCTCACCAACTGCCTCCATCGCTTGCTACTTTGATATTTCAAATGCACAATGACCATATCGTGATTATCAATATTATTAATATCATAATTCACAAGTGCCCTTGCGTGCACTCAGTTTGCAGAAGAATTGTTCATGGTCAGAATGACTGTTGACATTTTAAGCAGTTTTCCATCCTTGGTGAGGTTGAGATTTCCTGTGAGCCCAACGTTCCCCCCCCCCCCCGCCCTAACTTCAGTCCTGACATCAAACATCTCAGGCTCAACAGCACCAGGGAGTGATGGCGATAGATGTGGATGGCTGTGAAGTCCGTGATGTTGACGATGTCCCGATGCAGGTGGCGTTGATGGTGGCCGAAAATGTTGATTGCCGTTACGATTTGGTGCCAGTAACGACGGTGATGGTAATGATACTGTTGGGATACCACAGTGATGATGGTGGTGATCGTGATAGTCACGACGGTGATAACAGGGAAGTTGGTGGTGGTGGTGGTGATGATGGTGGCTGCAATGTTATGATGGTCACAATCATTTCGACAGTGGTGATAGTAGCGACCACTGCGGTTAAAGTTGGAATATGAAAGTGGTGATGGTGGTAGCCACGATGGTGATGGTGACCATGGTAATTGTGTGGGCAGTGTCGGTGGTCTCTGGTTATGGTCGTCGAAAAGACGGGCGGAAAATACTTTACCACTAAAGCCATTAAGAAGCGCTGCGTTAAATATCTAAATGATGTTTTCACAAGCCAATGTTTTTGGGTAAGGGTCCATTTCCAGGTCATGTATAGAGACTGACATTTGACTGTGGATGCACGTGTATGTGGAGGATGCCAGGGATTTCTGAAACAAAGTTTGCCATTGAAGGTTGAAAGAAAGCATTGTAGATGCAGTCAGGATAAGGAGGTTGCAGTGGGTTGGCACATATTGAGAATGGAGAAATGCAGGTTCGTGGAAGAGGCATTAGGCGTAGCACCCATTGGATGATGATCAAGGGGAAGACATAAAGGCAGATGGTAGGAGCTTGTAATAGAGGACAGCGACAGGATCTAGCAGAAGGATGGAGGTGACGGCGAAGTTATCATCAATGGCATTGACCATGATGCTCACTTGACCATAAAACTCACATACAAATTGAAGGAATCAAATTAATCTTTCTGTGCCTCTTTTTCAAACTTCGCTTTGTACTTCAACACGCTCAGGGGTGTACAAGTCGCACTGCGTTGTTTTTTTTAAAGATCGCCGTTAAGGCACGCGCTCCCGGTGGCAGTGAAGATCAACTCGAAGGTGCCGCTATTCGCAGATGGTCAGGCTGCCCTGCCGATGTAAACATGACCTTTAGACGTAACCGTTCGCCAAGCACGCGAGGAGCGACGGGAGACCAGCGAGCTCATTTCCACGCCCTCGGATTTTAAGAGCCGCAGCCTTCGTTCAGCTGAGCCAAACGCAAACCAGATGTGGCCCATCGTGAAGGGCGGGGGAGGGTAGGGAGGTCGATGCAACATTTTCATAATTCTTTGACGACAAGCACAGGATAACCTTTGACCCTGCGGAAAGCTTTCCTCCGGTTCTACCTTTGACCCCCAAACATATAAAACATCTCAAAATTAAACGAAAGAAAGACTTTTTTTTGTTTGAGAAAGAGAGTGAAGCAGGAAAGGAAGTGGATACTCGCTGCCAAAATTTAGTTTTCTCGTTTCCTGTTGCGTAACCTTTTCCAGAATTTTTTTTAAACATCTAATTTTCCAGAAAAGTGAAGAGAAACGGTGTTCGTGAACAATGCATTGTTGTCATTTGAACGTTCGCCCTGCAGAAGGAAAGGCTTCGGCCTGAAGATGTGCACTACATTTCCCACAGATTTCACATCCTCCTGAAATTGTGCATATTTCAAATTATCAATATAATGGCATCTGTTATCACTAGACGAGGAGGCTGATGAGGTGATGGGGGTGATGAGCTACCGGCAAAAATTGTATTTCTCACTGAATATTTTCTGTGATACTGGCAGGCTGGAGTAGATGCGTGACTAAGTGTCCCCAGCCACAGCAAGAGGTATAGTGGATGTGGTGTGCCTGCTGTGAAAATATTTTGTCGGTCAGTAACCTGGCCAGTTGACATTCAGCCGAAATTGTTCAGATTTTTTATTTTATTTATACAGGCCAGTAGTTTTTTAAGCCTTTTATCCACACTAACCTAATATCAGCGTTGTACTTTCCGAACAGGTTTTACTGATAAATATTCTGTCTGTATTTTTTGTTCATCTTTGTTTAACAAGTATTGGTAAATCTTCAGCCTGTCCATTATGCCACGCCTCACAACACCGCAAGCATTCTCTGCGGTTCACTGTAAAGGTGTTGTACTTTACTGCTCACTGTTGCTCTCAAGGGGTCAAGCAAAACCTAACTGCTGGGAAAGACAAAAATGCACACCGATGATTCACACATCAGCTGTTCGCGATGAATTTGCCCCGCCATGGATTCCCCTAACCACACCTTTACTTTGACATTTTGGTTTCCAGTCTACAGGGCCTCGCGCGTCTCCTGGCCCCTTACTTCTCCATCCACTTAAGTAAAACTGTTTTTGCCTCTGCATCATGAGCCATTATCTCTCCACTGCTGGAGGAAGGCCTCCCCTAGCCATTGCCATTACTCTGTCTTGCAATGCAACAATCCGTCTAGCCCCCCCACCACATCTCTGATCAGCACGGTTGGCTAAGTGTGGAAGTTCAACAGGCATACATAGAACAGCTGCTTTAATAACCCTATATGGCCACTGCGGGTGAACAATCAGGCAATGCGATTCAATTCACTACATTTTAGTAAATTTAGCACCATTAAAAAAATGTATTCTCACACACGATTGTCAACGTCGAATTGAATCGATGCATTCTCTGATGCTTAATTGCAAAAAAGATTTAAAAAAAAACAAACACGGCCTTGCTCTCGGATGTCTGACCATTGTCTTTTAGAGAAATAGGCTTTGGCTACGTAGCACTGAAAAAAGTTCTGTTCAGGCCACTGACGCCTTTCACCGTATGACTCATTCACAGAGAACTGCAGCACTGCCACCAATCAATTAACATGCGATAGCTTGCAGACTCTTAAAGCCAATCGCAGCGCTCTAGGAATCGTTGGCAAAAAAACACTCAGAATCAGTTACTCGCGGTCTGGCGTAACTTGGCCCACATCTGGCGTTACAGCGCAAACCCTCACCATCCGCCTGAGCTGCGCTACCGGCAGCAACTTGGATTCGGGGACAGTCACTGCTACAACCGTGCTGCCCGTGACCCTCACAGGGTCTCGCCAGTAAGGTCATGGGGTCACGGTTGGCTAAGGGGGTGGGATTGTGAGCTTTAACCAGCCCTGGCACCGCACGCTGGCTCCATGCACGCACGCTCACGTGTACGAGTGGTGGTCGCGATGCCAGAGGCAGGTCCCACGAGACCGCTGCATCTGCTTTCGATGCCGCTTCGACCTCATTTTTTTGCATGCAGAATTTAATCGCAGGATACATTTTTTGGCCGTCATTTCGGCACTGCAGTTGCCCTTCCCTACGTATAACCCCTCGCTTGCTTGAGCAGACTACAGTGCATACATAATCGTAAAGATAATCTACAGCCCACTGTCAATCAACTGCTAGATGAAAGCCACCGTTGATGATGTAGGTTGTGTGACTGTATATCACCACCCTGGTTGGTGCAGGTTCGTGAATGGAGGGCCCAGGACCTGTTCAGATATCACTTGACACCGACGTTAACCATAGCTGCGTATCCTTGTTCAAATAACACGCAGCAGTACTCATTTGCTTTAGCAGCGCTAAGCCAGTGATCTATATTCCATAATCCTGCGGCAGGGTGCACTGTCCAAACGACAACCACGTTTATTTGTGATTTACAATCTGGATTTTTTTTTCTCTCTCTTTCTTCTGAAATTGTCTTCAGCATCTCAAATGGAGGCAACTTTGTTTTGAGCCACGAATGTGGAGAATCAGTGCGTAGGAGAGAATTGACGAATAACGGCGTTCAGGTTTTCAATGTGGCCTTCGAGATCATCCCCTCACCCGCGACTGGCCTGGCCCGATGTGAAACTTCTTGACAATGTTGATGACAAAGTTCTGGACCTCCTGCCATGGGTAGATGCTGTTAGAACCGTCCAGGACGATGACGATGTCCATGAAGAGGCCACAGCCTGTCGCACAAAGAACAAACGTCCAGCACATGGACGCGACAACACTGATCAGTTCCATTATTTGAACGTTTGGCTTTTCACAATTTTATTTCACTTACGCTGTCGGCGTCATGTCATTTGTAACTCTTACAGAGAATTAAATCACATAATTTTAAAGAATGGGTCATGGGAGGAGATATCACAGGACTACTTCTGAGATCCATTCAAGTAACATATTTGTCATGCTAGGGGTCCTACAAATTCCCATGTGCCCTACGATAGAAAATTTCATCACATGGCAGTCAAAACTAAAATTCTCGATTTTTTATCTCAGAACTGGAATTTATGCCACATGCAGTAAAAAACGAAATGTAATTTAATGGGATTTCATCACGCAGTTATTAATGAACAGGCTTAAACCACCATTTCGCTTCACTTGAGAATCCAGTATGATTAAGGGAAGCTTTAATTACGTTTAAATCACAGATTTGAATCCTGGATCTCGGCGGTGCCCACTCAATACTACGATCACTAATCCTCCCGGCCACCTTTTTGTAAGCATCATATAGCCTTGCCCTGGCGGTCTATTAGACCATTTAAGATGACGATAATGGCCATGAATAGGACACACCCTGCCGAGCAGCGAAAGGACATCCAGCAAATGAACGCGGAAACACAAAGCAGCTCTCTCGTGAATAAATACATAAGCATGCCGCTGTATGTACAAAATAATTCAAACAAACGAATGGCTTGCTTACGCGGAGGTGTGTGTACATTGGCTGCCTGCAGAGTCAAAGCATGCACTGGTTGCCTAAATAATTAAATCCTTTGGAATGTTCGTAATTATTTGTGTGTGTTGCAGTCGGTATATGTGTGTGTGTGCGATTGAGGTCGGTCAAGTTCAATTCTTGGGCGTGATGCACATTCGTGGCATCTGGTTTGTGAGCCGAGTCCAGGTCCTCTGCTAAGTTGATGCCCAAAACTGAACACTTGTGTAGTGAGCGACTTCCAAGACGCGTCGTGTAGAAGGCTTCTCGTTTATTCTCACACTTTAAACACAACACTGGGCTATACATCGATGTAACGTTTCTACGTAGCTACACATAGCAGTCCCTTCTACACAACCCCATCGCCGGCGTCCAACTGCACAGCTGTCTGACTAGCGCAGCGACGACGAGAGCCCTGCAGACGATCGGCCACGTGGCAGGACGACGAAGAGAGATGACGGCGAGCGGCGACGCAGCCAGGACCCAGGACCCTGCAACAGCACCGAACCTCTGGTTCGGTCCCCCCTTATATACATCCCGGCACGGCCAAGCCCCGCCTCCGGCCACGCCCCCTTCCAGAACCTTCGAGCAGGTTCCCGGAGCTTCCCGACTGACTCCGCCTTTCACCTTTACCCCAGATACGCCCCCCTCATAATTAGACATTATGTAACATGCCCATAACCGCGATTACCCCTTCAGGCCGACAGGTGGCACCCTGTCATTACACTTGTAATGACATGCGTGGGCAGTGCCACGCATGACAATCGGTCACTGCCCACACCACCTCCGTTGGGTGTTCCATTCCAACCGTGATGGATGTTAACCAATAGCACTGGCTCCAGGAGTCTGTAGGGCTACTTGAGGGATCACTTTGCACATGTATGAGCGTGTTAGTTGATTTATGGGAAGCTGTAGTGTAGCGGTTAGCGGGCTGCGCTTCGAACCCGGTGACCCGAGTTCGATTCTCGCTCACGGCCAACACCAGTGATGAATATCTGAATTGGTCCTGGGCCTCCCCTAGGTCGACTCAGCCTCAAATGAGTACCTGTTGTGGTGTGTAAACATCGCCACTGTGGAGAAAAATGTGGTTGGGCCTGGTGCTGGCCACCCACCCCTTCATGTACTGTGCCAGTCTTCATAGGTGCTCACTAACAGCACTTGCCCCAACAGTCTGTTGAGGCTATTCGGGGGATATTTGTCTTTGTCGTTGACTTCTTGGCCCTGGTCTCCTCCTAGATCAAGATTTTCCTCTTCTCATCCAGTGTTTTCATAAATATATATGTATACCTTCCCATTTGCCTTGATATAGCTGCATTTAGATGGTGCATCAATACAAATTTCGTTGTAATTAATATTGCATTGCACGGATCAGCAATTGCCTAGTATGCATACTTTTATAAACGTGTGAGTCTGCCCCGTGACCTCCTGTCCAGTGAGCCTTCCCTTTTCCACGTAGCATCAGAGCGCACCTAGCCTGGCACAGGTCTCCTGGTGACGCCGCCACCACTATCGATGGCGGTGAACGATACGTGTTGTGAGTGTTTGTGTGCGTGTGTAGACTATGACTGGGCAGTTAGAGGCAATCACCCCCCAACAACAACGCACGGTTGGGGGACATTCACAATAACGAGCAGAGCGCCGGGCGACTAAAACACAGCAAGTTGGCACAGTGGGGAGCACAGCTGGTGTAACTGCGGGTCACCTCAGTCAGTTAACCCATACTACCTGGGTCTCTTCAGTGGGGAGCACAGGTGGTGCAACTGCGGGTCACCTCAGTCAGTTAACCCATACTACCTGGGTCTCTACTCTTTGGTTCTATTCGGTAAAGTCACGTAGGTAAAAAAAAACAACAAAAATCACGACGTTTCGGCCACAACACAAGCGGCCTTCATCAGGTGAAGGGACCAGTCTGCCTCGAAGACCGGGTCTCTTCCGTGACCTCCTGCCAGTGAGTCACCGTCACTTTGACGGATGCTCAAAGTGCACCTTGCCTGGCACGAGCGCAGTGGTGACACCACCGTCACTTTTTGTGGCGAACGGTGCTCGCCGTTACCGTTGGTGTGTGCGGACTCACGCTGTGCGGCGGGCGTGAGCGTGCTTGTCACTTGGAAGTCGGCGCTCACGTTGGTACAGACACCGGCCGTGAAATATGAGCTTCCGCAGTGCTGGGCCCACAATGGCCCACACGCCTAGGGGAGCAGGGGTTAGAGGTTGTTGCGGAAGGGGGGGGGGGGGGTAGTGATGGGAAGGCATCGATAAATGGGAGGGTTTTTTTTTTTTATATAAGAGAGATATGCCAGCTCTGATCTGAAAGAGTTGAATACCATTGTTACATGTTGTTCTTATCTCTCCCCTTTAATTTCTTCTTAAGCAAGTTCTGCACTTTACGCTGGTTCTTGTTATATAAAATATAGACCATCATGACCGAGTGACTGATGTGATTTTTAATGATGTCGCAGGTGGGATTAAAGCCTTATATTTGCTACACGTAGTGATGGCGATGCTTATTTAGTTGCCAGATGTTAAAGGGCCTCGTTTCGCTTTGTTTTATTTTGGCCCCCAAAAAAATTGCGACCAAGAGGTTGAATTGTTTCGCGCACAGGACAGCAGGGTCAGCCTCGACTTCTAAATTGCAAACAGTAAAAAAAATCGAAAAGTAAAAAAAATCGAAAAGTAAAAAAAGAAGATCACCATCATCGGTGAATCGAGCAATTTGCTGCCAGTGGAGTTCGTTGTGAAATCCAATTTGCCAGTAATTGCTACCAGTTACGAATGTAAACTTTGTTACTTGCCAAAAGGTTGATTTACGTTATTGACCAAGCACAGACTACAATTCAGAGTATGCAAATGCATCACGCGTAACACGCAGTGAGTGAGTGTGAATACAAAGCATTTAACTTAAAAACAACAGATTTGTTGACATGCGATACTTTAAATGGATAACAACGCTACGAGATTCATGTGCGTGGCGCTGCATAATTACGAAGGGAAACACCACGTTCACAAAACCACTGGGCAGGGGCGAGGGTAAGCACAATGGGCACCATGGGTGCAAATGCCTTTTGCGTACGATCAAAGGACTCGCCGCGCACGTGCGGAGCTGTGAGCGTTCGGCACATGGCAGAGATTCCAGCCAGATGCTTGGCCCAAAGCTGGCGCGGTAGCTTTGGGCCAAGCTCCTACGTGACCACCGTCTGGTGCGCTGGAGGAGGCTATGGTTGTCCCACAATTTTCTCACAGCTAACGCCACTGACTATCCATAATAAGGGAGGTTTTTTGGGGGGTTAGATCGAGTAAATATAAATGTGTCGTTAAACCCGCCGCCACCCGACACGGCCAATTAGTAAGGTTTGCCGCGTAAACAAAACGTGCAAATAAGTTCCTACTTCAGCACACCGGTGTGTTGGAAAGTAAACCCACAACTTTTACGGATTAGCCGATTCAAATGAACACATCATCAGCCGTGGTCCGTCCGCTGCTGGATAAAGGCCTCCCCAGAGCCGTCGCCCTCATCCGCAGTCTCCCGGCACAACGATTCCATCGAGCGCCTGCACCGCAAGCTAATCTCCTTGTTCCATCTCCGCGCTATGGACGTACGTTTGGGCATGTTCTCTTCTTTGGTTGCCACTCATCACATCGAGTATTGGATATTCGTAAGATAATAGAGCTTCATAGCTCATCAGATTCCTCCTCCAGTCTAAATAAAGATTCTCATCCTGAGTATCGATCACCCGTCACCATCCCATCTAACGATGTGTTCTGCCTCAAGCCCACTTGCTGGTCTGTATTGTCAATGTTGATTTGGCCAACTTCTGTATGTTCTATAAATCCACGTGTTCCTCTCCCTGTCTCTCAGTGACGATCCAGGCATGTACCAATTTTTTGCTTTATTTTACTTTTCAGCTCGTGTTTATTTTTCCATTGTAATTCGCCATGAAGTTTGATCCACACATAATTGCCAGTCGTAATAATACACTCATCTAATTGTGCTCGAATCCGTAAAAAAGAATTGGACGACGTATAATCTCATAGACGCAAACAAAGGCCACGTGTGTCCCGGGCTATCTGGCATGAGTTTGAAGCTATGTTGACGAGAAACAAAGATGCCCATGCATGTCATTATGTCACCCGAGTGACATTGCCATGAGATCACTTAAACTACCTTTTTTGTGCAACGTCAATGAAGTAAAGTCACTGGATTGTGAAAACCAAGCGCCTAAGCATGTTTTTTTTTGTCTTTTTTTTGTTTAACACCGCCAAGTCAGACAAACCAGGGCACTCGGCCTAGGTATGTATGTGCAGGAACAGTTTTTTTTGTATCACACGTGAATACATTAGTTGCATTTTCCTTAAAAAAAATGTTTTACGAAGGAAGCACAGAGACAGCAAGACAGACAAACAAAGAAACAGACAGATTTCCGGAAAATAAAACTATTTCAACTAGAAACAATTAATCTCTTATTCTTGGTTCTTTCGGTAAAGTCACGTTGAAGGGAAACAATAAAATAATAAAATATATATAAAACAATAAAATTCTCACGACGTTTCGACTGCAACACAAATAGTCATCATCATGTGTGAAAACCAACGGCAAGAACATTTGAAAGAAGTGAGAATTTTTTTTGTTTTATATATTGTATTATTTTATTGTTTCCCTTCAACGTGACTTTACCGAAAGAACCAAGAATATTAATCACTGCAGTCACGAAAGCTTTAAATCAAAATTAATCTCTTGTTATTTTACCAGATGAAGCCCACTGAGCTATATAGCTCTTTTTCAGAAGTGAACTGGCCACAAATGATAGTCCAGTGAAGTGGATAATCACGTGGAAATTGATAGAAGCAAAATACATTCAGAAACCCATGTTTCTAAATGTGGAGGGAAAAACCAGAGGACGCATTGAAAAATCCACGCGGCCACGGGGAGAATGTAAATACTTTAAATAACCCACGATCTCCTGTATACCAGGCGAAGTAGTTAACATTTTGCCACCACTGAAAGCCTGTCGGATAAGGCACGTCTCCCCAAATACAACGGAAATGTAGCGGACATGTTTAGACACGTGTGATGCAGCATGACCCGTATCTTTATTTGTTTGAATAATTTTTGTTAGGTTTGCAATTCAAAGTTGACGATGCTTGAATTTTTATTTTATCGTGATGAACGTAGCATCTCTAGTGGCCACAAGGCTCACGGGAAACTGTCACGAGTGAGGCATATAAATCAAACGCGATCAATTCTTATCCGAACTATTTGGCAAGTGTTAGATTATAATTCACAGTCCTTTGTCAATCTGCTCCCCACACCGTGTCGGTTATAGGGTTGTTGTTTTTTTCTTCCCATATTTCACCACACTGGTCAGTGTGGGTTAGTAAAGGAAGTTGGCCCAGAACCCAATAAGATATTGCTCATAAGTAATGTTAGCCATGGCTGGAAATCGAACTCAGGTGACCGAATTTTTTTTACGCAATGCGCAAACCAGTGCATCACCGCAACACCGACATACAAAATAATCGATCTTAATCGATGAATCTCTGCATTGTTTACACCCCTAGAGTTATTAATACGGCTCACAGTATCGCGCCGGAAGAGAACTAGTGTCAGCCGTGGGGCCCTTTGCAGTTGCAGAGTTCGACCCCAGACTGCGGGCACTGCCCTGCTGGGTCAGCGCCGCAGATGGAGGTGAACCGGTGCTCAGGCCCAACCCCAGGAGGAGGAACATTCAGCGAGACGCCTGTCTCGATCAGCGTGCTCTTGGCGAAACCGCTGTTTTCATTTTACGTCACTCACTGAAATCTATCTTCTCATCCTCCACGAGCACAACCCATTTCTGCTTTTCGGAGCCTCCACCACGTTACGAAACGCGATATTTATCGTTTTCTCGCTGTGGAAGCAAGCCGCCGTTTGCTTCGGGACAAATAATAGATTGAATGAAGGCTAATGCGTGCCGCGCTACTGTTGTTGGCAGTAGCATTCATCTGGCGGTGCCAGGAAAGGCAGCGGGAGACCAGGATTCGTTTCACAGTCCGAGTTTGGATTTAGATTTCGCGACCATCGTCCCGGAGTTAGGTGTACACCTCCAAATTATAACATAGCTCAGGACAGATTTATTGATGGTCTGAATGTATGCAGCTGCGTCTCAAGATGCTGGGCAAATACCAGGACATGTTTCACCAGAAAAAAGAGGTGTATATTTATAAAAAGCCATGTCTGAATAAACGTCGTATTCTTTCAGAAAAAAGGACAATAACCCATTGGGAGAGTTGGAGAAGGTCTTAAAGCTGGACTTGAACTGGGGCGTGGCGCTGGCATCATCGATCACAAGCAAGGAGGGAATTTCAGATAGTTGGGATGACAGGAGAGGAGTGACGTGCAACAGAGTGAAGGTTGACTGGAGGCTTTTATAGAAGACGAGTTGCTCTGCTGGAGTGAGAAGCACATGAAAGAAAAACATAAAATGCGGTGAGAGAAGAAGGGTTGTCAGCGGAGTGTCTGTAAAAGAGCTTGAAAACTGTGAGGGCGATCACGATGAAGTCCATCCAGAACGGGACTGGTAACTGGTGGAGAGGTCTGGATAACGGAGTGATGTGGCCTTGTTTTATGGGCGCGTGTAAGGAATCCATGGAGCACAGCAAGTGCACACATTGAAACGAACCTACCACCCATTAGTCTATTCCCACCGAGATGGAATGTGGCCCTGGCACCAACACATGAAGAACCACATTTAACGTCTTGGCGGTACACCAGTGGGCAGTATTTAAAAAAAAAACACATTTTTCGCAAGAATTATTCATTTTATTCACAATCCCGATCATAAAATCTTGCGGAGTGTGACAAAATAAGTTCTCGTGATGTCAAAGCAGTCATAAGACGAATGTTATGAGTACCTTAAAACGAAAAGCTTCACAGTTTGTTACCGTTTAGCACCCAGCCTGGTGGCGGTTGACTGCTCCGTGTTCCAAAGGCAAAGATTTCACTCCTCGTGCCCTGGACTCAGTCGGACGGTTCCTCGTGACCAACGGACCCAAATCAATGGTCAATATTGACCCTTTTTAGCTCAGTAGACTGAATAAACTTTCAAATCGCGCCAAATGTGGTGACAGGGTCAATTTAAGACTGATAAACAGATTTGCTAATTGAAATTTGTATTGTAGACTGTTTTACAAAGACCGGTGTGTTATGCTACACCGGTGTACCGCCAATACATCCATTTGTTGATATTTGGGGTCTCTGACATCTGCGATTATATAAGCTTCAGGACAGGCGAAGTGGTCCACTGTGAAACAGGAAGGGGGAATTTGATATCCGGTGTGATGCTAAGGGATGCTGTGCAATCCAACATCCACAACTCAATACCGCCGTCAGAAATGAAGGTCAAGATAACCTCTGGCCCACAGGCGGACTCACGATCCCGTAACTCACCCTGGTGCTACTGATCTATGCTTCCGATTTATTGCATCACCGCAAGGCAGACACGAGAGGAAAATAATGTGTTGTCGCAGAAGGGATTGAGTTTAAAGGGATAATCTTAAACTTGAGGTTTGTTTGGCAGAATTCTTTGCTTTATACCAAAATCCAACAGTCACACAAGTGGTGTCGTAACCGATGAGTCAAGAAGCCCGGGAAGCTGCATTTTTTGACAGATGGAAGTCATCTTTCCCTGTATCTTGCTTGCAAATTGACTACAATAAATAAATAAAAATCACAATTGAAATTTAAAGAGGCCGCACAGTTTAAATGAAACATTGCAAAGCAGCACTGCTTAAAACTTTGATCCATCCCGTGTCATTCACAGTGGTGGCAACACATTTATTTTTCTTTCCCCCATCATTTCGCCTCTTTGTACCGTTGAACAAAAATGTACACGTCCTGTACACGCTGCAGTTTTTGCCGTCTCTCACCAGAAATCCGTTGCCAATTGGGTCATTCACGAGCGTCATTCCCAGTGTCATGTTGTCCTGCAGTTCAGTGGCGTTGGAGACGGTGATGGAATCTGGAGAGGAAATATAAACAAACGCGAAATGTGTAAAGCCGTCAAACGAGGGTCACGATCGTTCACACCCCATTCGCCCCCATCGCAGAGATTCAACGAATCGTCTCAATCCTAGGCCGCAAATCGATTTAAACGGTCGGTTCTTTTTCAACTTTTTTCTACCATCTCCTGTTCATCGCTTCTTGTTTTTGTCCCATTTTGTACAGCTTGATGCACTCCGTTAGCCTAAATATAATGTTGGTGCATCATTTGCATATTGTGTTCATCAATTGTATGTACGTACGTGGTTTTCACCTGCATAATTGAAGGGAAGTGTTTAATTAGAGAAGTGTTTAATTAATTCTTTAATTAATTTTAATCGATGTCTCATCACGTGCCTACATGTCCTCTGCTGCCCTCATCGTGTGGATTCCCCCCCCCCCCCCCCCTCCAGTCATTCGTGCTGTTGTGCTCCCTGCTCCCGTTCAAGTCAAGGATCAAAACCTCCTTTTTTTCCTCTGCTTATAACCGACTACCTCTCCATACAAAATAAATATTTGCGTGCAGGCGTCTTGAAATATGGTCGCATTCCGACCATATATACTTTAAAATTGCATATTACTGTGTGGTACAGAAGATTTGGATGCATTACATGCAGGGGTGCATTCCACCGTCCCACACTGTGCAGCAGAGTGCAGAAGGGGTCTTTAACCACTCTGCAATATTGCCCAAGGATTTGGCAGCATCATTAAAGGGTGCTGCACACACCTATCCCCTGTGCACCATGATGTCCTTAATAGGTGCTCGAGATTACAGCACTTTCCCGAACAGCCAGTTAAAGGCTATACGGGCGAACTTTGTCTTTGTGTGAATGCCCATGTGTTTTGAGTGCTAACATGTGTGTGCATACATGCCTGCGTGTTGGTGAATATGCGTGTTATATTTGTGTTCAGGAGCGGTAATGCAACGGTTAGCGCGCTGCACTACGAACTCAGCGACCAGAGTTCGATTCCCGCTCACGGTCAACACCAGTGACGATTATCTGAACCGGTCATCGGTCTCCACTAGGTCGACTAAGCCTCAAATGAGTATCTAGGGAGACAAAGGCGGCCGGGCGTGCTGTTGGCCACCCACCCCCTCGTGTGCCATGCCTACCTTCATAGGCGCTCGCTAACAGCACTTGCCCCAACAGTCTATGCACGCTATACGGATGATCTTCATGTTTGTCTTTGTTTGTGTTTTGGTGAATACGTGTTTTATATTCGTGCGTGTGTGTGTGGGCCCTCACTGCTAAGGTGCAGCGGCACGCAGCCCCTGCGGTAGGTGTCGGGGATAGGACACTTGTAGACATCGCCCATCTTCCGGTAAGGGGTTCCTTCCCAAGGTGCACCCACCAGCAGCCTGGCACAGAGGAGACGGGGGGGAGGTGAAAACGTCACCACCGACACACAACGCCTGCGGTGTTGACTTGGCCAAACGGGGCAGTGATTTTCCTTGTCGGTGATTTTTTTTGCGTATCTGCGGACACTTACGGAAGCGGCTGAATCGTCGGTGGATGATAAGGTTGCACTCGTTACACACAAAGTACTCGCTGGCAATGAACCACAACAACTTGCTGATCTCGTCAAGGAGCATAAATCACCACACGAACTCTCACGTTCATCCTCGCAGCAGCAGCTTGTTTGGCTTTACCATTGAACAAAGAGGGTCACCACATCGCGCGCTTTCAGGTGTGCTTCTGTGGCCGTCTGGAACGCTCTCTTTCCTTCCGATATTAGGAAATTACAGTGAGGGAAAAAAGTATTTGATCCACTATTGATTTGCACGTTTGCCCACTGACAAAGAAATGATCAGTCTAGAATTTTAATGGTAGGTTTATTTGAACAGTGGGAGAGACAGAATAACAACAAAATCCAGAAAAACGCATGTCAAAAATGTTATAAATTGATTTGCATTTTAATGAGGGAAATACGTATTTGACCCCCTCTCAATCAGAAAGATTTCTGGCTCCCAGATATCTTTTATACAGGTAACGAGCTGAGATTAGGAGCACACTCTTAAAGGGAGTGCTCCTAATCTCAGCTTGTTACCCGTATAAAAGACACCTGTCCACAGAAGCAATCAATCAGATTCCAAACTCTCCACCATGGCCAACACCAAAGAGCTCTCCAAAGATTCCAGGGACAAGATTGTAGACCTACACAAGTCTGGAATGGGCTACAAGATCATTGCCAAGCAGCTTGGTGAGAAGGTGACAACAGTTGGTGCGATTATTCGCAAATGGAAGAAACACAAAAGAACTGTCAATCTCCCTCGGCCTGGGGGTCCATGCAAGATCTCACCTCGTGGAGTTGCAATGATCATGAGAACGATGAGTAATCAGCCCAGAACTACACGGGAGGATCTTGTCAATGATCTCAAGGCAGCTGGGACCATAGTCACCAAGAACACAATTGGTAACACACTACGCCGTGAAGGACTGAAATCCTGCAGCGCCCGCAAGGTCCCCCTGCTCAAGAAAGCGCATATACATGCCCGTCTGAAGTTTGCCAATGAACATCTGAATTATTCAGAGGACAACTGGGTGAAAGTGTTGTGGTCAGATGAGACCAAAATGGAGCTCTTTGGCATCAACTCAACTCGCCGTGTTTGGAGGAGGAATGCTGCCTATGACCCCAAGAACACCATCCCCACCGTCAAACATGGAGGTGGAAACATTATGCTTTGGGGGTGTTTTTCTGCTTAGGGGACAGGACAACTTCACCGCATCAAAGGGACGATGGACGGGGCCATGTACCGTCAAGTCTTGGGTGAGAACCTCCTTCTCTCAGCCAGGGCATTGAAAATGGGTCATGGATGGGTATTCCAGCATGACAATGACCCAAAACAAACGGCCAAGGCAACAAAGGAGTGGCTCAAGAAGAAGCACATTAAGGTCCTGGAGTGGCCTAGCCAGTCTCTAGACCTTAATCCCATAGAAAATCTGTGGAGGGAGCTGAAGGTTCGAGTTGCCAAACGTCAATCTCGAAACCTTAATGACTTGGAAAAGATTTGCAAAGAGGAGTGGGATGAAATCCCTCCAGAGATGTGTGCAAACCTGGTGGCCAACTACAAGAAACGTCTGACCTCTGTGATTGCCAACAAGGGTTTTGCCACCAAGTACTAAGTCATGTTTTGCAGAGGGGTCAAATACGTATTTCCCTCATTAAAATGCAAATCAATTCATAACATTTTTGACATGCATTTTTCTGGATTTTTTTGTTGTTATTCTGTCTCTCACTGTTCAAACAAACCTACCATTAAAATTATAGACTGATCATTTCTTTGTCAGTGGGCAAACGTACAAAATCAGCAGGGGATCAAATACTTTTTTCCCTCACTGTATGCCAACCTAATTAGGTAGCAAAGCCAATTTTCCATTAATTAAGCTTTTCATTTCTGGATTGGCACCTCATGCAGGATGCTGCTTGCCCAGTTACTGCTCTGAGCCAGTCCAGACCCAGGAGCTTTCCCAGACACCGGACCGAAGCAATGGTGTCACAATGTAAACCTTTCCCTACTTGGCTGTGCCTTGGTGAATAATCTGACAGTTGTTTTCCATCCGAAAGGAGCATATCACTGCTGTTTGGAGCACAAGTGCATGCACATGTCTTGTATGTGTAGTGAGCGACTTCTGACACACTTCTTAGTAGAAGGCTTCTTATTTATTAAGAGCACACAAGGCGATACACTTCGTAGCGTGGCTACGCCCAGGCTCTTCTTAACACGCAGCCCATCTCCGTCCTGCGTTACGCTGGTTAGTTGACGCCCCCTTTCTCGAACCTACTAGACCGTTCGGGATGGTTCCCGGAGCTTCTCGACTGACACCGCCCTTAACTTTGTCAGAGATTGGCATAACGTGCACTCGTCCCTCAACCTCTCCCACAGCATCCTACGTGAGACAACGTTCCTCTGTCCCTTTGACCCTGTTTATCTACTCGTTCCAGTTTTCTTCGCATCGCAAGCGCAGTCCAGGCCCGTTAAAAATTTCAACGACGCATTCAAAACCAGGGGCGTTATTATTCACCACCCCCACCCACGGCGAACTCTGGTAACCCTCACAGCGGCTTTTGGCTAGCCAACGGATAAAGGCGATCACTGCATCGCGCGCTTTCAGGTGCGCATCAGCGACCGTCTGGAACACTCTTCCTTCAAATATTTGGAATGTCACTGAAGCTGTGCACTTTGAAATCTAGATTGAAAAACTCATTTCTTTGGAACTGATTTTTGTGTTTAGTTTGTTGTCCTTCCGCCCGCAACTTCTATTGGCACGGTTAGCTTAGTACAGCGCAATATAAGTTCAACGTACGCACATACATCGTTGTAATTCATGGCTGTGATTAGTTAGAAGAATCGATTCTCTTTGGTCTTGTTTTGTCCCCTCGTTTGTATTGTTTCCCATTCTATTCTGCCTCCGATTTACAGTTATGTTCGCGACATGTGTCCAAACGCAACATGAGCAAATCGCCTGCTCGCAATTCACACCAATTGAAAAAAAAACCTCGTGATAGTTTTTTTTTTAAATATATGACACATGCATGCACAAGTTGACGCTTTGCGTATCGTAACCCTTGACAATGGATATCGGTAGACGAATGGACGCAGCATTGCACCGCTATCAAGAGCCCGCTTGCATGGCTTGCAAATATATTTGCAAGTACTGTGCTTAAAACGTCACCGGAGGATGTCAAGATGGAGAAGGAAGTTGTTTGGTTGCAGCTTTGATGTTTTGCGCGTCAAGGGGCCCTTATCAAAGGGTTATGGATTGTTGCGGTGGGGTTGGATGATTGGCGATTACAACTGCAAAATCATTTCTGTTGGAGGGCCTTTGAAACCAACTGCCCTGCCGACATCATGACCTGCGCACTCGTTTTTAGTATATTTACATCTTTTGTCATGAGAGTCTTTTTAAGTCTTTCAAGACTTTCAAGAGGATCTGACCAATCAACTGTATCGGTCGTTCACCCCGACTTCACCACAGTGATCAGTGATGTGGATTGGTCGGGGGGGGGGGGGGGGCCCGGGGGCTGTTCACATTTGATTCACGACTGAATATTATCTGTGACCACGAATCAGATTTGGGTCACTGAGTTCATAGCGGAGTGCATGGACCACTGCGCCACGGCTCACCGCAGCCAATTATATATATATATAATTATATATATTCATCAGCACCTTTATTTACCCTGCAAAATCTCAGTGAGTCTCAAGGCTCCTTTCAGAAGGGGTCATGCATCGAGATGATTGCCCAATTCCACGGATGAGTGTTTGACGCTTGGGAGGAAACTAGGGGGTGACACTCAAAGTTCCGCCACGGTTAAATTCGAAATTTGCTACCGTGGTGTCCTCTACTGGCTTCCTGTTTTCGCATGCGTTTGGCTTGTGTAAGAAAGCTAGCATTTGCTGCAGAGAAAAAAAAACTCACATGCAACCCATGTCAGAAAACCTACTTGCTGTGCTGTTCCCCTACATCACCGGTGGCCAACTGGTGTCTCCCGAGCCGCACGCGGTTCTTTTATCCACCACATGCGGCTCTATCGAAGGGTCATAACGTACTAACGCGGTAGCAAAGGTTAGTGAATGTCTCCCGTGCTGTGCCAAAAAACTGTCAATATACACATATATACACACACTTGGCTCTTTGCAGAACTTGGTCTGTTGCAGGTTGGCCACCCCTCACCTGAATCTACCCCAGTGCTCTGCACGTGATTGTGTCACATACACCAGTGTTTTCATCCCGGTGTGTGTGTTCCACGAACCACCCCACCACATTTATAAATCGCAAGCGTGTATCACCAGCACGTGAAAATCATCTTCTCTTCGTGCGGCGGGGGAGTTGATCAGTGAAACGTTTGTACGTTCACGTCGGGGTTTGGCGAGTGAGCCGGTGGACGGCTTCGCGGGTTGCCTGGTGATGATTATCTGAAATGGGTGCCAGCGAATGGTCTAAGTGGCAAGAGGCGTTAAGGCTGATGATCACGGTCGCACTGAGGGCTACTCTCGATTCTCCGTGAAGGCCGGAGATAGCCGCATCTGCCGTGCAATGAAAGGAAACCCGCGGTGGCTTTATTTAAATTCATAGCAAAGTAGTCTGGCATGTCCCGTAACGTAATTGTCCTCCTCCCTCCCCTCCTAAATAATTGCTCTCAGGCATAAGTAGATAGATGTTTTTTTGTTCCTCAACAAAGGATATTTTGGTAGTGGAATGGTGAATCATGTTTTTCCCAGTAGTATCACATCTACGCGTGGTTTTTTTTTTAAACATCACTCTGTCAATGTTACCCCCCCCCCACCCCACCCCATCGCGCGCACATGTCATGCCCAACAGCGCACGAGAAAGAGGGCCGTGTAAATGTAAATGA